GTTGATGTTTTGCTGTTGCTTCTGCTTCCAGTTCTTTCTTTAAGTTGTGATGGAGTTGATTGATATAAAGAAGTGAAGTATTTTGAGAATTTTTGTTGCATATATCAAATTCTCAAAGACATGCCTTCAGTTAGGTGTAGGCCACATGTCCTCACTAAGGGGAGGCAACAGCCCAGTGGCTTTCTCTGACAATTAATCTCGATCAGTAATGTTCTGGGGACCTGGGCTTGACAAGTGGTGGAATTTGAATTCAATTGAAAATCTGAAATTAAGAGTCTAATGATGACCGTGAAACTGGTGTTGATCGTCTTCTGGTTCACTCATGTCCTTCAGGGAAGGAAATCTGCCATCACAGAGTCATACAGCATAGAAACAGACCCTTCACTCCAACTCATCCATGCCAACCAAGTTTCCCAAACTAAACTAGTCCCAGTTGCCTGCGTTTGGCCCATATCCTGCTAAACCTTTCCTATCCACGTACCTATCCAAATGTCTTTTAAATATTGTAACTGTGCCAGCATTTACCACTTCCTCTGGCAGTTCAATTCACATACAAACCACCCTCTGTGTGGAAAAAGTTACCCCTCAAATTCCCTTTAAATCTTTTTCCTCTCACCTTAAATATATGCCCTCTAGTTTTGAACTCCCCTACCCTAGGGAGAAACCTTTTGCTATTCATCTTATCTATGCCCCTCATAATTTTGTAAACGTTTATAAGGGTCACCCTCAACTTCTTACATTCCATTTGGAAAAACGTCCCAGCCTAACTGGCCTCTCCTTATAACTCAAACCCTCCAGTCCTGGGTAACATCCCGGTAAATTTTTTCTGAACCCTCTCCAATTTAATAATATCTTTCCTATAGCAGGGCAACCAGAACCGTACTGCACACAGTACTCCAAAAGTGGCCTCACCAACGTCCTGTACAACTGCAATAAGATATCCCAACTCCTATACTCAGTGGTCTGAGCAATAAAGGCAAGCATGCCAAATGCCTTCTTTACCTGTGCTGCAACTTTCAAAGAACTATGTACCTGAACCCCTAGGTCTTTCTGTTCAACAACATTCCCCAGAGCCCTACCATAAACTGTGTAAGTCCTGCCCTTGTTTGTCTTACCAAAATACAATACTTCACATTTATCCAAATTAGATTCCATCTGCCAGTCCTCAGCCCATTGGCCCAATTGATAAAGATCCTTTTGTAATCTTAGATGACCTTCTTCGCTGTCCACTACACCACCAATTTTGGTGTCATCCGCAGACTTACCAACCATGCCTCCTATATTCTTATCTAAATCAAACAACAGTGGACCCAGCACCAATCCCTGCAGCACACCGCTGGTCACAGACCTCCAGTCCGAAAAACAACCCTCCACCACCACCCTCTGTCTCCCACCATCAAGCCAATTTTATATCCAGTTGGCAAGCTCTCCCTGAATTGCTTGTGCTCTAACTTTGCTAACCAGTCTACCATGAAAAACCTTGTCAAAGGCTTCACTAACGTCCATGTAAACAACATCTACCGCTCTTCCCTCATCTATTTTCATGGTCACGACCTCAAAAAACTCAATCAAGTTTGTGAGACACAATTTCCCATGCAGACTATCCCTCATCAGTCCTCACCTCTCCAAATGCACGTAAATCCTGTCTCTCAGAATCCCCTCCAACAACTTACCTACCACTGATGTCAGACTCACTAGTCTATAGTTCCCAGGCTTCTCCTTACATCCTTTCTTAAATAAAGGCACAACATTAGCCACCCTCTAGTCCTCTGGCACCTCACCCATGGCTGTTGATGATACAAATATCTCTGCTAGGGGCCCTGCAATTTCTTCCCTTGCTTCCCACACCGTCCTGGGATACACCTGATCAGGTCCTGGAGATTTATCTACCTTTAGGTTTCTTAAGACCTCCAGCTCTCCTCTTCTGTAATGTGGACTGTTTTCAAGGCATCAGTATTTATTTCCCTGAGTTCCCTAGCCTCCATGTCTTTCTCCACAATAGATACTGACGCAAAATATTAATTTAGTATCTCTCCAATCTCCTGTGGTTCCACACGTCGACGACCTCGTTGATCTTTGAAGGGTACTATTCTCTTCCTACTTGCTGTTTTGCTCTTAATGTACTTGTAGAATTTCATTGGATTATCCTTAACCTTATCTGCCAAGGCTATTTCGTATGTCCTTTTTGCCCTCCTGATTTCCCTCTTAAGAATGCTCCTCCTCCTCTTACAATCTTCAGGAGAGTCACTTGATCCCAGTTGTCTATATCTGACGTATGCCTGCTCCTCATTCTTGACCAGAGCCTCAAAATCACTATTCATCTATTGTTCCCTACTCCTACCTGGTCTGACCTACATGTGATACCAGACCCACAGCAATGCAGTTGATTCTTAACTGCCCTCTGGACAATTGGTGTTGGGCGAGAAATGATGCCAGCATCTTGTGAATGATTAAAAAAAATACATAGTTGTACCTGTTTAAAGTGACTCGATCCTCCATATGAGTGCAAAATCATATTTCGATAGGATGTACCTGATTATGCTGCAGAGAATCTTCACTTATGCTGCTACTGAGCTTAAAGTGAGGTCTGCCTTTCTGCTTTTAGGCTAACAGTTATAATTGTGAGTCTGCAAAAACTGCATACCCTTGTTCCAAATAATCCTGTCAACAGTTCTAGTGGAGGTATCGAATCTGTTTACTAGGCCTGAGCTAATACGCATGCCTACAATATAGCATAACCAAGTATAATTTGATTTGATCCCTCCTAAAGAGTGGAGATAAGTTCAGTCCGAGCAAAAACAAGGTATATATGCCTTAGTGCTCATTACTGTTTGCTGGTATGCTTTCCATACTTATTTTTTAGGGACCTTTTATTGAATTTAGCTCATTCACCAGCAGAAGGCTTATGCTATAATTTGAACAAATAGTGCCGCTGATGACATTAACAGAACATTTAATCAGTACCAGGCTGTAAGATTGCTTTTTTTAAATACTCGGAATGAAATGGACTGAGCAGTTTCTACTGTGGAAGATTGTCACTGAAGAGCGTAAAGTTGGGACGGGTTGTAAAGATCATGGCAAGCAGTAGCAGTTTCTGGTTAACTCATCCCCAAAGCTATTGAGGCTTAATGTGTCACACTCATGTTTCGCATTCTCTGGATTCAACGCATGCAGCTGAATGGAGATTTAAGCAAAATTACAAAACTATCAGCAGTTCAAAATTAACTTCTCAATAGGTCGGGCTTGTGTACCAGATTCTGAGCTCTCTGCATTTGGAGCAACTATCTGGTGAAAGCGTTAATGGCCATGCAGTAAATAAGATTTTAGTGGGCTAGTAAATAATTCCACTAACCTTAACTCAGTTGCTAATTTCTGTTGAGTTATTTGATTTTATTTAGTATCAGTGTCCCTGGACTAGGGAAGAGAACAATCACCAGGCAAGGTTTTCACTGCCCAGTGGCTGCTAAAGGAAAATTGCCTGTGAGGTGCTGTCAGGTGAGGATCGAACTTGGCTTTTCTGTGGTGTGTCTGTGGTCCAAGGGTCTGCTGCCACTCACTGCCAAGGCTTGGGTGAAGAATGTCTGCTTTGGTGAAGTACTGGAGAACTGCCTTCGTTAGCGTGAAGGAACTTTTTGTTTTGAACTAGAGGTAACGTTCAGTTTTTATGTTGTTACTGTGGGTGAATTCAAAGTTGAGCAGAATTTGGACTTGGGATAATAAGAAAGCTTGCAGGAATGATGACTACAATGGTAATGAGAAAGACAATAAAGATAAAAACTTTGCAATGGATAAAGGGGGTTTTGAGATGAGAGGGTAAACGCCTATCAAACTGTTAGCAACTGGCTACTCAAGTCACAAAGTCACTGCAGCACAGGAAGGAAGGCTATTTGGCCCGTCAGGTTCATGCTGGACTACTGTGCCAGTACTGTAGTCAAAGTGATGATTACAAAAGCCCACGTTATGTTGCTCCAAGTATCTTGTCCACATTGCACTGGAACAACTTGATCAACACGATCAACACATAGATTCTGAAAAGTCAGTAAATAGTTGAAATACAAACCCTGTTCACCATTTAGTGTGAAGCATGAAACTCACTCAACAACACTGAACAATGTGGGTGAATTAAAGTCAGTCTGAAATTACATAATTAATCATTTCAGTTCAGCTTCCATATTTTGAATTATTGCATCAACCATCTTGAAAGTACATTAACCTTTGGTGCATTATAACTTGTTTGAATTGTTCATTTGAGTTTTCAGTTATCTGATGTGGCAAACAGGTACTTTGGAACAACTGGGTTGTAGTATGGGAAGGATGTTGTAGCTATACAATAGAAGTTCAAAGTGGAAACAGTAGAATTTATTCTATGTATGCCAATGGATGAGTGCTACCTGATAAGATATGCAAGTTCACATTTTCTAGATTAATTTTTATTTTGTTTCTCAGTGAGATCTGTTAGTGCATGGGTATGGAATGTGTTATGATTTCAGTTACCTTATTTTAGTATCAAACATTTCAGGCCCAGTGCATCACGATTTGATGTAAAACAAAGCTGTTTCTTCAACAGTCTATTTCACCTCACACTTTGAAACTCATACTCCACTAATGTGGCATTTCCCCATGTCCCAAACCAGCCATCATATCTTTTCTGAGCAAATTACAGTGAAATCCATTGCTCATAGGATAGCTGGTCCCAGGCTTGCTGACTATTTGCCCTGCTGTTAGCTATTAATATTGCTGCAATTGTGCCTGGTAAGTCAACTAACAATAACCAGTTGTTAGTGACCATTAAAAATTGTCTCCACCACAAGCTTTTTCAACAGCCCTTTTGGTTTTGAGCTCAAGCATTATTACTAATTCCATTGACATGGTTTGCATTCAACACTGCTTGCTTTCCTGCATGAACTTTTTCTGGAATGTGATTTCTGTTCTTTTTGTGAACACGTGAGATGAGTGGTCACCCAGAATACGGGTATAACAGTGTATGTTTATTTCTGCAGGCCTGAAGACCATTGTGGGTGCTCTAATCCAATCTGTGAAGAAGCTGTCTGATGTAATGATTTTGACTGTATTCTGCCTGAGTGTCTTTGCCCTTATCGGACTCCAGTTGTTTATGGGCAACTTGAGGCACAAGTGTGTCATTTGGCCACCCAATCCAACGTATCTAAATGCCACAGATGAAAATGGAACAGAGATTTTTGACTTTAATGACTACATTATGAACGACAGTAAGCATTGAATAATCCATATTTCTGGCTTATGTGAAGGAAAACAATGTTTTCCAGTTCACTGGTGGTTTGATGTCATAAATTATTGCTTATTCTGTTAGAAGGAAATTATTGGCAGTGTAATGGCATGATCAGTTGGTATGTCAATGTGCAGTACCTTCCATTGAGTTGACCTTTGTGTCTTGATTTCTCCCATTGAGAATCTTGATTTTAGATAGTGCTGTATGTTACCTTTTAAAAACAGAGAAAGACACTAGACCCAACAAGACTGTTATAAGCTTCACTTGCCCATCTTTTCATTGAATTCTTCAACCCTGGAAACAATCTCATTGTCTTTTGAGCATTGTTCTTGTTTTTCACCCTCTGCCTCGATGACCCTTTTTGCTACCATATTTTACAGCTCTGTTGCTCTTTCGCTTGGCAAATTTTGTGCAAATTTCCTTCTTCCTCATTTGTATCACCAGGTGCTTGCATCCTACGCGCAACAGTGAACGATTTAGTGGATGGATGTGTCAATAACAGTACATTAAAGTGTTTGTGTGAAATTCTTTTATCCACTAAAAGCCACAAACATGGAGGACTCATCCAGACACTAGAGAGAGAACTAGAAATAAGCAGTTGAATTAGCAGACAGGCAAGACATTTGTAACCATATCAAAGACTTTTGTCTTGAAATTAAAGAATTCACTTATATAAGAAGCAAACCTGTCATTTTTGGTTCTAAATGAGGTTTCAAAATATTCATTAGTGATTTGTAGATCATTTGGGAGGAGTTCAGGATGAGTTTACATTTTCCCTGATGACCAGGGAGTCCAGAACTAGGATACATGGTAGACTATTTAGGACTGCAATGAGGAGAAATTTCTTCACCTAGAGCGTGGGAATCCTGTGGAATTCTCTGCCACAGAAAGTGGTTGAAGCCAAAACATTGAATGTTTTCAAGAAGGAGTTCAATATAGTTCTTAGGGCTGAAGGGATCAAGGGTATAGGGCGAAAGTGGGACCAGAAGACTGAGTTGGATGATCAGCCATGATCATATTGAATGGCAGAGCAGGCCTGAAGGGTCGATTGGTTGCCTCCTACTCCTTTTTTCTATGTCCAGAATGTAGGAGTGTGGCCAACTGCTGGTCTGCATGCTTTGTGTAGCTGCAAAGCTCCTTGCGTCTGAAATGAGCCACTGATCATGGGTTCAGGGTCTAGGCCCGAAACGTCAGCCTTTCTGCTCCTATGATGCTGCTTAGCCTGCTGTGTTCATCCAGCTCTGCACCTTGTTGTCATGGGTTCAGGGTAAGCTAGTTGACCCAAGAAATTAGACTGTTTTGTTAGGAACGTGGATTGCCTTGTGTTGCCCCAATTTGATCTACATAATAACAATACCTCAGTCCATTCAGAGTTGGGGGAATGAATGAAACAGTTTGATTATGCCATGATTTGTTTTAACATCAGGAAAAGGAAAGGAAAACTAAAAAATAAATTGAAGGCAGGCACTTAACAGATTTAATATCAGTCAGCAAAATGGTAATAACGAAAGTAATGACACTGAAGATTGGCAAATTTCCAGAATGTGATGAGTTTCGACCAAAGCTTAATAAAACAAATAAGTAAGGAAATTGTAGTTGCCTTAGTCATAATCTTCCAAAAGACCCTTGGTTCAGGAAATGTTCCTTGATGTGGGAGATTGTCATTGTCACTCCATGGTTTCAGTAGGGTTAGGAACGAGTACACTGCAAGTTATAAACCCATTAGTTTGATATCTAGTATCTGGAAGATACTAGAATCTGCAATTTGAAATGGTGATTATGTATTTGGGAGAAAACAATTGTGTATGATTGAATTTTTTGAGGAGGTCACAAATATGGTGGATTCATATTACTTATCTGAAGTTTCAGAAAACTTCATACAAGTTTACACACAAGACACTGTTCTCAAAGATCAATGTGAATGGAATTGGAAGTAACCAATTGGCACAGGTTTGGAACTGGGTTGATGATAGGGGACAGAATGTAGGGATAATGGGTACATGCTATAGTTGCCAGCATGTGACCAGTGGTGTCCCTCAGGAAAATGTCCTTGGGCCTTAGGTTTTTCTTTTACTGTAGGTAATAACTGTAAGCAACACTGTAGGTGTACCTGCACCAAATGGACTGCAGAGGTTCAAGAAGGTAGCTCACCACCACCTTATCGAGGGCAATTAGGATGGACAATAAGTGCTAGTCTTGTCAGTTGCATTCAAACCCATGAATGGATATTAAAAATAATGAAGTAATTGAGAGCTGTATATTTGAGTTTGCTGGATAACATGAAGTTGCATGGTACAGAAGTAAACAGCGTATTGAATGCAGGAATTTTCAGAGGGATATTGATAGACTGAGTGGTTGAAACTGTGACAGATGACATTTAATGTGAGGAAGTTTGCAGTCTGTTCAATCATATATTCAAGTCTCATCATTTTCCCTATTACTACTCTGGATCTGAGGAAGTTCTAGCAGGTTTTTTGAACCACTGCAGTCTGTGTGCTGTAAACAGGCTTACAATGCCATTAGGGAGGGAATTTCAGGATTTTGACCCAGCAACACTGAAGGAATGGCAATATATTTCCAAGTCAGGATGGTGAGTGGCTTGGAGGGGAACTTGTACAGGTGGTGGCGTTCCCATGCTTTTAAATGGTTCATAGACTTATAGCCTTTATCTTGACCTTGATACACAAAGAGGCAGACATTTTTCTACGGTTGTAAAGAGCTCTTGTTAGGTCCCATCTGGAATACTGTGTTCAGTTCTGGGTGTTAGACCTCAGGAAGAATATATTGGGTTTGAGAGGGGTGCAGCTAAGATTCACAAGAATGATAACTGGGACTGAAAAAGTTAAGTTTTGACAGCAGGTTGCACAGATTAAGCTTGTCTTCCTGCGAGTATGGAGAACTAAGGAGGACTAAGGGGTGATCATTTTTAGGTGTTTAAGGTGATCTGGTTAGTGGCAAGAACATATTTCCTCTTTGTGGGGAACAGGGAAAGAGAGAGGTGGAAGTTCAGAATAATGGGTAGTAGTGGTGTTACAGATCACCACTTATGTGGAGAGGGCAACAGAGTTAGCGCTTTAAGTCCAGTATGACTCTTCAGAATTGAAAGCTGTTGGAATTTTTTAATATGCGTTTGACATAGACAGATGCCCAGTGCAAAAGATAAAGGAGCTGTTAATGGTGGAGAAAGGGGGAAAAACAAAGAGATGTAAATTGGTGTAAAGGGAGGAAATGAGTCCTGTCTACTGAGAGCAAAGTAAACAAGACAGGTGTCGGGGTGAGGAGGATGGAGACAGAATGTAAGAAGTCCTGGAATGAGACTTGAAACTGAACTCCTGGCTCAGAGTCTAGATTTATGCCACTAGACCTTGAAACATGAGGCATAACTTTTAAACATTGGAGCTAAGCATGATGTCAAGAGAAATTTATTGATATCAAGTGGCGTAGAAACATCCCAACTCTCTCTCTCTGTCTGTCTGTCTCTCTGTCTCTCTCTCTCTTTTCTCTCCACCTGCTCAAGAAAGCTCCAATGTTGGGTCAGATGGAATTTTCAAGATTAAAACGGATAGATTTTTAGCAGAATTATGGGATTATGGATCGAAAATTAGTAAATGGACTTGAGATACAGATCAACCATGATACAATTGAATGCTAGAAAAGGTTCGAGGACATAGCTCTTCATTCAAGTACATTTTGGCAAGCTGCACTGAACCTGAGGGAGCCTTTTTTTTTCTACATCAATAAGTAACAAAGCATAATTTTGCTGATTTTAGCCCTGAAACCAATTAGGGTCAAACGTCTAACTTCTGTTGTTGAACCTAGGTGAAAAAGTTCACCTTCAAGAGCTGCTTGAACTGTGCAAGGCATCTTTTCAAGCCAGATATTGTGCTCGAGGAAGCAAAATCAGTTCTCCTGATTCTGCCAGTCATCTATCAATGGGCTTCGACAAAAAAATATGATCCATTGTAGTGGAGGTACCGACTGATATTAAGAGAGAAAAGTCAACCAAAACAACACAATAAAATGCAGGTTACAGAAGGAGAACCTACTGTATGAAGCTGTAAAAATAATGTATACTTGGTTCCCCATTGACCTGGTAGCATGAGTGTACCAGCATCCATGATTATAATAAATTGTGGAACAGGCTTGGAGGACTGAATGACCTAATCTTGCTCCTTTATTCTATGTTTCTGTGTTTCTTTCATGGGATGTGGGTGCCAATGGCAAGGTCAGTATTTGTTGCCTATTCCAAATTACACTCAAAGATGTTTTGTAATTCACTCGTGGGACATGAGCGTCACTGGCTGGGCCCAGCATTTATTGCCCCCGTCCCAAGTTGCCCCCTTGAGAAGGTGGTGGTGAGCTGCCCTCCTGAACTGCTGCAATTCACCTACTGTAGGTAGACCCACAATGCCATTAGAGAGGGAATCCCAGGACTTTGACTCAGTGGCACTAAAGGAATGGCAATATATTTCCAAGTCAGGATGGTGAGTGGCTTGGAGGGGAACTTGCAGGTCATAGTGTTCCCATGTATCAGCTGCTCTTGTCTTTCATGATGGAAGTGGTTGTGGGTTTGGAAAGTGCTCTCTAAGGATCTTTGGTGAATTTCTGCAATGCATCTTGCAGACAGTACACACTGCTGCTACTGGGCATTGGTGATGGAGGGAGAGGATGTTAGTTGATGCAGTGCCAATCAAGTGAGCTGCTTTATCCTGGATGGTGTCAAGCCTCTTGAGTTGTTGGAGCTGCACCCATCCAGGCAAGTGGGGAGTATTCCATCACACTCCTGACTTGTGCCTTGTAGATAGTGGACAGGCTTTGGGGAGGTGAATTACTCACCGCAGGATTCCGCAGGATTCCTAGCCTCTGACCTGCCCTTGTAGCTTTTGTATTTATATGGCTAGTCCAGGTCAGTTTCTGGTGATTGGTAGCCCTCAGGATGTTGATAGTGGAGGATTCAATGATGGTCATGCTATTGAATGCAAGAAGTGATGGTTAAATTCTCTCTCGTTTGAGATGGTCATTGCCTGACATTCACCTGTCGCAAATGTCACATGCCATTTTTCAGCCCAAGCCTGAAGATGGCGGTGAGTTGTCATCTTGTAGCAATGCAGTCCTTGTGATACAGTTATTACTGAGACTGGCTTTCCTTAAATTTAATTCCAGATTTAACTGAATCTAAATTCCATCAGCTGTTGTGGTGAGATTTGAATCTGTGTCCCTACAGCCTTAGCCTGGGCTTCAGGACCTATAGTTTAGTGGTGGGCGATGGAATCCAATGACAGTAAATGTGAACAGGTGTATTTTAATTTTAAAGAAAGTGATGCCTTGGGCAAAACTGGGTGCTGTGGAAGACTGGAGAGATTTGGGGTTTCTAGTACACAAGACATGAAAAGGAAAACCTCAGGTGGATGAGGTCACAATAGAATAAATGGAATAATTGAAAACTGGAACAGGTCAAGCACACCCGATTGGGAGTAATATTTGTGTAGAAGATAAATAACTGAGACATGGGTGGCATGGTGGCTCAGTGGTTAGCACTGTCGCCTCACGCAGCCAGGGACCTGGGTTTGGTTCCAACCTTGGTGACTGTCTGTATGGAGTTTGTATGTTCTCCTCATGTCTGTGCGGGTTTCCTCCCACAGTCCGAAGATGTGCAGGCTAGGTGCATTGGCCATGCTAAATTGCCTGGTAGTATTCAGGGATGTGCAGGCTAGGTGGGTTAACTCTGGTAAACGCAGGATTACGGGGATGGGCTACGTCTGGGTGGGATGCTGTTCAGAGTGTCAGTGCAGACTCGATGGGCCAAATGACCCCTATCTACACTGTTGTGATTCTGTGAAATTTCCATGCAATTCTATATCTAAGTTACTAGTTTTTGGCGACAGGATTATTCACTGTGAATAAATTCAACATTGCTAAAAAGATATACCTAGTCAAAACTTTCTGTCTTGTCCTCATCAAGACTTAGAAAGGGAACACCAATTTATGTGAGAAGAGGATAGACCATGGTTGGTATGGAAATGCAGCCAGAACTGTTAACTGTCAGTCTTAGCTGATAAACCTTGGACCAGGTGGGTCACGTTTGGTTGGTTGGCCATTGCAGGAGGGATTGGCAGTCTCTTTTTTAAAATAGGTACAGTGTATGGACAAATTCCTTTTGCCTATAAAGAACAGGGTCCTATGTGTGAATAAATGGCTTTATCAGCTCTCTTAAAATAATGAACAAAGGAACACTATACGGGTGTCAGTATTTGCACCATGTAATTTATAGATGTACACAATTTGGAAAACTTGGGTTTGGCCAACTTGAAGTCTGGCACCTCTGGAGTCAAGACACCTATCCTAAGAGAGAGTTTACAAATTGGGAGTGGTAACTCCTCCTGCTCACATCTGCCCAATTTACTGGTTATAGAGTGGCACTTGAAGATTATGACAGTATAGCCCTCAAGGTTCATGGTGAATATAAGGGTCACACATGGTTCTGGCAGGTAGAAGATAATATCTGGAAAAAGGAAAGAATAGAGGGTAAAAGAGGATTGTCAACCAGGTGCTTCTTTTTAGCTAGCTCACATTTTGTGTATTTTAAAAGAAAGAGTGAATTGGACATTCTTATTCAAGGGAATTTGATATTTTGACATTCTTGCAGTTTTTAGTCATTGGCAGAGTTTGACTTTGTCCTGCAGCAGAATGTAATCTTCAAAACAAAGCAGCAACAATTTGCAGAAAGTGCTAACACAGCTAAGGGCACTGGTTTTAGTTTGTATTCTATACAACAAGAAGCTCTAAGCATTACACAGCAAAGCCCAGATCAACTGACATCATATTAAAGCGTAAAACAAGAGTGACCTTTACAGGTCACCTTCTTCAAATATGGGCAGTTAAGAATACGTACCTAACAGTGGTCACTTGTATAATTTTATATATTCTGAGCCAACCTCAAACTTACGACAGTTGGGTTTGTTTTATGTGAAAAGCAGCCTGTCTAAAATGCTTCTTACGTACTGACACTCAGTCAGACGTCACACAACACCAGGTTTTCATCCAACAGGTTTATTTGGAATCACACAAGCTTTTGGAGCGCAGCCCCTTCGTCAGGTGCAGTGAGACAGCAGGCCACACAAGCACAAAGTTTATGGGCAGAGAGATCAAAAAATCATACCACTCGTGTGAGTGGAGTGTCAGATAATAAGTCTCTGCAGGTGACAAGGAGAATAACGTGTTTATAAAGTCAATGTCAGTGCTGTGCTATTATGACAATCAGGCAGAGCCACAGGAAAATACAGAAGGTGACCTCTCAGGTCAGACACTGAACTGTAGGTGTGAGGCTTTGCTCAGAATCTCTCTCAGAGTTTTAACCTGGAATCAGGCTGGTTTTATTCTGAAAGCTGGAATTTATAAGATGCCACACTGACTGACAGTGACTACAAATTGTATGTTTTTTGAACAAAATAGAATGCATCTCCAAGTAAACAAACATCTTGGGATGAAATGATTCACCCCATAGATTTAGGGGTGTGTGTGTAGAAGAATTATAGAATCCCTACAGTGTGGAAACAGGCCCTTCGGCCCAACAAGTCCACACCAACCCTCAGAGCATCCCACCCAGACCTATCCCCCTATAACCCACCTAATCTACACATCCCTGAACACTATGGGCAATTTAGCATGGCCAATCCACCCTAACCTGCACATCTTTGTACTGTGGGAGGAACCCAAAGCACCCGGAGGAAACCAATGCCGACACAGGGAGAATGTGCAAGCTCCACAGAGAGTTGCCTGAGGGTGGGATCCGACCTGGATCCCTGGCAGCAGTGCTAACCATTGAACCTTGAGCCACCATGCCGTGTGTGTGTGTGTGTGTTGTGTGTGTGTGTGTGTGTGTGTGTGTGCACATGTGCGTGTGAGTGAGAGTGTGTGTGTGTGAGAGTGTAATAAGTAATTCAAAACTGTACCAGCTAATTAAAGTCAAGAGATCATAACAATTTATCAAGATGATGCTATCAAAACAGGACAGTAACGAAGATTTTACAGATACAGAACAGTGTGGTGGGATCACCTGTAGCACGACGTGAATGCAAGATCACGTTTGAAGCTGTCTTCATGGGTACGAAACATGGCTATCAGTCTCTGCTCAGCGATTCTGTGTTGTTGTGCATCGTGGAGTCTGCCTTGAAGGACGCTTACCCGAAGATCGGAGGCTGAATGCCCTTGACTTTGTCCACCCCAGTCCTACACTAGCACCTCCACATCATACTGACACTCAGCAATTTCTGGACAGTTTCGTGCTACACATCTGTCAAAGATCATCTGAATAGTGGAGAGGGAGAAAAATCACTTTGATGGAAGCCCTTTCGACACTTATATGTTTTGCATGGACACTTGGCTGCCCCACTGTCAATTGCATATTAATGTCTCCATCTCCTTCACTTTGGCAAAAGATGTAGACAGAAGCAACAAGATAAAAATACCCAGCTACATTATAACATAGCACTGGAAATCATTTATGCCCAAATGGATAATACTGAAAGGCATTAGCTTGAATTCAGTCCCTTCAGCTGTGTATTATACTGCTGTCATATTCAGGATTATTTTAACCACCAAAAATGTATTGGGTCACCAAGAAGTTAAAATTTCAAACCCAAACTTGGCCCACCTCCTTCTAATTTTTGACTGACCTAGGCAGGTAACTGCAGTCTGCTAGGAGTTGGGTCCCTGTTTCAATGAGTCTGTGTGCCTTAGATTTTGGCTACAGCTTTAATACTGGCCGATTGAATTGGTGGGAACAGTGAATTCCTACAATGAGAAAAGGCCATGTGTCTCGCAAAGTCAGTTAATTTATTCCGCAGTTGTGTATTTACTTCATTATACATTCTACTCAACAAATTTCATCTCTATAGGAATGTCTTGCAAACCTTTTCTTGTCCTATAACTCCTCCACCCCACCTTCCAAAGTTACTCAAGACAGCTCCACACGACCTATCTGATTGTATGTCTTGCATTGGATTTTCAAGACCAATTCCCCTCGTTCTGTATGGCACAATTGTGATCACTGGAAATGTATTCTATACAAGATTTTGATACCTTTCTCTGCACTCATCTTCATAATCCCACTGATTGTAAACATTTGCCAATCCCTGTTGGGAACATCCCTTTGCAATCTCAACCAGAACTGTTCTGGAGCAACAAGAGATCAACACTTCATGTGATAATGGCATGCCAAATAGGATGGCTTAAAGAAGGGAGGGATTACCATACCAAATGGAGGGGGCTAAAAAAGTGCACTTCAGAAGACTGCGAGAATGCAGCCTAACCTTGGAGCTAATGGTTTGCTTTTTTTTGTGGAATGTCTCGAATTTTCTTGCCTGTAGCAACTGTGATTGTGGGACTAGATAATACTTGTAATGTTTTCAGAGCTTTAATTACATATTGTGTTTGTGGGGGGGGAAATGAAAGATTAATTATTGTGAACTATTTTGTGAAGAAATTAATTTAATGAAAACATTATTATGTTTCCTTGTAGCAAATTTCTACTGGGTGGCAGGAATGGCTGATCCATTGCTTTGTGGTAATAGCACAGATGCTGGGTAAGTTTTATCTTCTGCGTGTGTCTTCTAATTGTTGAATTCCATCCTGTTTTCTAATTGTGATATTTGTCAAAGATTCTTCCAATTGAATTTGGCTGTCTGACGTGAGACTTAATCATAAAGACCAGAAGGTTCCACAATTTCATCTGTTGTCTGTGCTGATCTCAGTTGGGCAGCTGTTGGGGATCTGCATTTTGCTTTAGTGATGTTAAACTGCGGGGAGAATAAATCAGCCAAGACCCCTTTCTCTGCTTGTTATTTAGGGTTTCTATGGCAGAGAGTGCAGAAACCTGTTATCACACTCTCTTAGTCTTCTACTTAAAGAGTAGCCTCTTTGATCAAGTAATGTTGACTACTTAGGTCTGTGATACTGTGACTTCAGGAAGGGGAGAAAGGAAACAGTGTCAGTGCAGTCTCAGCCGTCTGGAGGAAAGCCCAACACTGAGGGAAGAAGGTCAATGAACTTCCCCACTCCACCAACATAAACAGCCCCCAAAAGGGCAGAAAAGCTGAAGATGGGTGGTGGGCTGCCTGACATTCAGCTCCTCAGCCCTTACGAAGGGAGGGCCCTGACTCTGACCGTCCCGAGTGGCTGACTGACCGTGTCCAAACTCCTGGACTGGGATCGGAGGCTGCCCCTGACTTACTGCCGGGAGCGAAGGCTGTCTCCCTTGATGTGACTGAGACCTGCTGACAGCCAGGACAAGCTTCCTGCCTTTGTGTCTGCACTAAATGGCAAGGAAAGGCAACAGTCCAGTGAGCCTGGTATCTCTGGCTGAGGGACAAGGCAAGGCAGGGATGCTGTGAGTATCCAGGTGGGCTCAGAGTGAGGGAGCACTGAGAGAGCGAGTGAACAGGCCGGAGATCCAGCGTGGTGCAGGCCATGAGCTGGGACTGTGTCCCTGAGCACACAGTGTCCCTTGCTGCAGCATTACAATGAGAGTTCCCAGGGCAGCCTGAGGGGCAGCACTGAAGGACAGAAGTGTCCTGTAAGTGGATCGGAAGTGTGCCATGTGGGTACTTGGAGGGTGGTACATGTCGGATTTCAGTACCTGTGGGGTGTGTGTGCCCCATGCAGCGTGCCCTGTGATGTTGGTGCCCAGTGTCCAACATGGAGATGGTTTGGAGCAGGCAGTAAGCAGAATCCACCAGGTGCTCGCTCTGACTTCCATGTTGAGAATTCCCCACGTCTGGATTATTGGGGGAGTTTGGTAAAATAGAGAGCTGAATATTAATGAGGCAAGTTGGGCTGTTAACGAAACATTTAACAAGCGCAAATCGCCGTCAGTTGGTAACTTGGCACTACCTAGTGAGAATCTCACCTATTTGTCGAAAGCGTAAAAGATACTGCGAGATCATCTCAAATTCGAAATGGGTCTTGCTGGATTTGTCACAAACTTCTGCCACGAATCTCACCTATAGCCCACTTGTGCTCATAGGATTCTGCCCTCTGAGACTATTGTGGTTTTTTTACATTTTTGTGCTGATGTTTTTCTTCTGCAATTGCTTCTCTCAGCCCTCCTGAACCTCTGTAATACTGGCTGGGTATAGCTCTCACTGATGGGCTCCCTTAATAGCATCACATGCACCCTTGTGCTTCCCATGTATTCTTCTGGCAGACTTTGCCGTTAGGGAGGGAATTCCAGGATTTTGACCTGATGACAATGAAGGAATAGTGATATATTTCCATGTTAGGATGGTGAGTGGCTTGGAGGGGAAATAGCAGGATGTGGTGTTCCCATGTATCTGCTGCCCTTGTCCTTCTAAATGTAAGTGATTGTGGGTTTGGAAGGTGCTGTCTAAGGAACCTTGGTGAATTTCTGCAGTGCATCTTGTAGTTGGTACATACTGTTTTTACTGAGCATCAGTGGCGGATGGAGTGGATGTTTATGGCAATGGTAACAATCAGGAGGGCTGATTTGTCCTGGATGGTGTCGAACTTTTTGAGTGTTGTTGAAGCTGCCCCCATCCAGGCAAGTGGGGAGTATTCCATCACACTCCTGTAGATGATGGGACAGGCTTTGAGGAGTCAGGAGGTGAGTTACTCACTGCAATATTCCTAGCCTCTGGCCTACTCTTGAAGCCACTGTGTTTATATGGATAGTCCAGTTGAGTTTCTGGTCAATGGTAGCCCCCAGGATGTTGACAGTGAGGGGTTCAGTGGTAATGCTATTGAATGTCAAGAGGCAATGGTTAAATTGTGTCTCTTCATGGAGGTGGCCATTTTCTGGAAGATCATTGGAGTGAATATTGTTTACAGCTTATTTGTGCATCTTATTGAACCAAGCCTTTCCCAACAATATGGTATGACAGGGTATGGCAACTGTGCAACAAAGTTGCAGTTACTGACCTATATATGGCAAATTAATTCACTGATGAATTTTCCTTTACTCAGTACACTGACACTTTGAAGTGTACTTTCACACTATCCTTACCTGGTGCTGTGATTTCGGCAGCCAGAAACTTTAAGGAAAGCTATTTCTGTATGAGGGTGTCAGATTGTGAAACATCCCATTTTTCTTTGCTCTGTAAAGAAATTTGCATAAGGTATTGAAGACTATCTTATACCTGCTGAACGCCATCAGTGGTTTGAATGGTTTCTTTGGCAATTCTCATTGTCATTTAATTATTGTTACCCCTCAGAGGTTTGGTGACATGCAGGACCCAGGTGTGATTGTTTTACTGTTACTAGTGTGCCCAGGTTTAAGTTGGCTTTCAATTCTCTGAATCAAGCCCGTGACATGTAGTCCCCAGGTTGTTCTGGTGCTTATGCCCGAGGTACATTAATTTAGAAGATTCACAGTGATGGCATGCTGAACGATAACGTTGTGCCAACAATCTGCTGATTTCATTGGATGGCAGTGTTGCATTGAAGAGCACCTTGAGTTAGCTCTTTAGACATGCGGGAAAGAATAGGTCTCCAGGGTCTTGACATCCGAAGCCATTCATGCAGATCTGTGATTATAAATAGTTTTGGCATGCAGTAAGGGAATGGTCAACAATCTCTCAAGATCTTAGCCACTGTCTTCCACCTGCACCCACTGCAATCTTTCAGACTTTGTTACTCACTTCACTGGTTGTGAAAAGCTTTGAGAACCATGGGAGCCACCTCATCTTCCAGAAAGGAGCTCATTTTTTTGGTAGCTGCCAAGTTGCGCATTCATCAAGAAATTTAGATGTAACTTGAAGATTTGTCAGCAATAAAGCCTTCTGAATGTCCCATGTTACCTGCTTACAGGGTGAGGTTCTGTGAGGCATGTTGAACAGTAACTGTGGTGGAAGTGACATCTATATTTTTCCTCCAAACTGACTTTTGAAAACAATATTGGTGGTATTCCCTATTTTATGCTAAATAATTTCCTGTCAGAAGAGAAATGAAAGAAACAAATGAATGGGAAGCAGCAAGAAATCCACAGCAAATACTTTTACTGTATAAAGTATTTGGGAACCGTTTTACCACAGGTTACATTGAAGATGGACAGCTCAGCACCTATTCAAAGAAAAATGTTGCTGACAGTTTGTGTTTGCACTGTTCAATTTTCTGACTGACTTTACGGTAACACAGGGGCAAGAACATGCTGATGACCCTTTGCCCTTTTATTTATATTGCATTTTTATTCATTTCCTATATTTGGTTCTTCTCATTCACAATCTCACAAGCAAGGGGGTGGTTAGTTATCCCGCATCTAAAATGCCAGCCTGTAGCTTGCCACCACAATGCATCAAGGAGACTGAAGACACAAATCTCCCATCTGCCCTTTTTCTCACTCCTGAGAGAGACCCTCAGTTGAGCCTGGCTTAAGTTGAGAACTACCTTTCTCCCTCATGATAGACGAAAACGTCCCTTGTATTTGTTGTTTAATAAAGCCAAATCCTCATTTATAAAGAACGTGTTCACAATTTTGTTGCACAAAAAAGTTTTCATTGTTCAACTCATGCAGTGGATCCCTATGGAAGGAGGAGTGAACCATTGAACAGGTTTCCCACCCAGGTTTGGACTTCTGTATCGATCCAGGTGCTTGACGTGATGACTGCATTGAACATAGAACAGTACAGCACAGAAATAGGCCCTACAGCCCATGATGTTGTGTTGAACATGACGCCAAATTAAACTAATCCCTTCTCCCATGATCCATATCGCTCCATTCCTTGCATATCCATGTGCTTATCTAAAAGTCTCTTAAACACCCCTATTGTATCTGCCTCCACCACCCACCCCTGGCAGCCCGTTCCACACTCCCATCCCTCTCTGTGTCAAAAATTTGCCCCTCACATCTCCTCCTTTGAACTTTCCCCCTCTTACCTTAAATGCATGCCTTCTAGCATTAGACATTTCAACTCTGGGAAAATGATTCTGACTGTCAACCCCATCTAGGCCTCTCATAATTTTATAGACTTCTACCAGGTTACCCTTCAGCCTCAGCTGCTCCAGAGGAAACAACTCTAGTTTGTCCAGCCACCCTTGTAGCTCATACCCTCAAATCCATGTAGCATTTTGCTAAACCTCTTCTTCACCCTCTCCAAAGCCACAAGATCTTTCCTGTAATGTGGCGACCAGAATTGAGCACAATACTCTACGTGCAGCCTAACCAAAGTCCTATAAAGTTGCAACATGACACCCTGACTCATGTACTCAATTTCCCGACCAATAAAGGCGAGCATGCCGTATGCCTTCTTTACCATCCTATATATTTGTGTGGCCACTTTCAGGGAGCTATGGACTCGGACCCCAAAATCCCTCTGTACATCAACACTATTGAGGATCCAGGCATTATCTGTATATTTCCCTTAACATTTGATCTCCCAAAGTGCAACACCTCACACTTGCCTGGATTAAACTCCATCTGTCATTTCTCCACCCATATCTGCAACTGATTGATATCCCGCTGTATCCTTTGACAACCTTTTACACTATCCACAGCTCCCCTGATGTTTGTGTTATCTGGAATTGGTTAAGAACCCAGAAAAAGTTATTTCCCCTCCCTGACCCAGCTTGAATGAAAAATGGTGTGCAGTGCAAGAAGGTGCAAAGCAGTGAAGCAAAATTCACCCCGTGTTATCTGAAGTCAGAATCCAACTGACATTCTGAAAAATTGTCATAGAAATGCTCACTTAGCAAAAATATATCAATAAATTGGTACAAAGGCAAAATGCAGACTTTCATAACGTGCCCTTGTGGAAACTAAATGCTGTACATGATCTGTTACATTTCTTTTAGCCAATGTCCTGAAGGGTATGTGTGCATGAAGGCAGGAAGAAATCCTAACTATGGGTACACCAGCTTCGACACGTTTGGTTGGGCTTTTCTAGCCTTGTTTCGACTCATGACACAGGATTTCTGGGAGAATTTGTACCAGCTAGTAAGTGACAAGGCATTTTATCCTTATGTGTTCATATATTCAAATATTTAATTTGTTGATTTTAGTGCACAATTGGTATACAAGCTTGTTGTGTGAACAGTTGTACTCACTTTCAACAGATTCTAACCTGGTTGATCAAACAATCTAAACCTTTTTCATAGATTATAGAACCCTACAGTGCAGAAGAAGGCCATTTGGCCCATTGAGCCCACACTGACATTCCAAAGAGCATCTCACCCAGACCCACCCCCCTACCCTATCCCTGTAGCCCTGCGTTTCCCATGGCTAATCCACTTAATGTGCACATCCCTGGACACTACAGGCAATTTAGTGTGGCCAATCCACCCAACGTGCACATCTTTGGACTGTGGGAGAAAACCCACACAGACGCAGAGAGAATGTGCAAACTCCACATGGACAGTCACCCATGACTAGAATCAAACCTGGGTTCCTGGCACTGCGAAGCAGCAGCATTAACCATGGAGCCACCATGCCACCTTTTGGTGCAGAGAGGTTATTGACTGTACAGTCCAACAGTCAGCAGTTGTTCCCCCCTCCTTTATCAATATTTTCTAAGCAACCTGTTCAGAGTTGCTATTACACACACACCTTTGTTGCAGTTGAGAGTTGAACCTGGGCTTCAGCCCCTTATCCTGAGATTGTGCCCCACTCCCCCATGTTCTGGATTCCTCAGTCAGGGAGAAACAAATCTCTCAGTATGGACCCTGTCAAGACCCTTCAGAATCTTGTCAGTTTCAATAAGATTCCCCCTCATTCTTCTAAACTCCAGAGAATATCACTCCAATTTACTCAGTCTATCATCCCAGCGACCAGTCTTGTGAATCTTCACTATATGACCTCCATTGCATGTGTGTCCTTCCTTTAAATACAGATCAAAACTACTTTTACTACTCCAGGTGTGGTGTCATTAGAATTGAGGCAAGACTTCTTTATTCTTGTACTCTAGTTACCTTGCAATAAGGGCTGACATGCCTTTTGCCATTTGGTTCCTGTAGCTGCTGAGTTCATTTTACAAGCACATGTATGAGATGTTGGTACGTTTTATAAACCTTATGGGGATGTGGGAAATTGCTTACTCCATTCAACAGCAATTTGAATTTTTATAGTATCTTTAATATAGAACAGTGTCCAAAGTTCTTCATAAAGATATTATCAGAAAATAGAAAGAATGAGATTTTAGGAGCAGTGGTGGTCAGAGGTTTCATTTTAAGGAGAATCTTTTAAAAGGACTGGGAGGTGTATGGTGATGGAGGAATTTAGGGGAGAAATTTCAAGAGCATAATGCTGAGGTAGCTAAAGGTTGCGCAGCAATGTTACATAGAAACAGTTGGAATTCCCACAGAGATTTAAAAAATCCGGAAGAGCTTCCATCAAAGGTAAATATTCAGAAGAAAATGGCATTAACGCACAATGATAGAATGAAGAGTGAAAAAGCAGACTTCTGGGGTCTGGTGGATTTTTGGGGCCTGAGGGTTTGCTTGGGCCTTTTTGTTTTAAACTGCAGAATTAGCAAAATACTATCTATGATTTTCCAAATATCTTTGAAAATAGGAATTCTGCCAAAGGATTGGAAGGTGGCAGATGGTTCACTTCTGTTCAAAAGAGGTGAAAGGGTTCAGGCATGAGACTTACAGATAGCCTTGTCCCAATTGTGAATCAACTTTTCGATCCCCGGTGGGGTATGGGACAGAATCAATGAATGCTGAAAAATGCCAGACGAATTGGAGAGGCAGGGCTGGAGGTGTAAGTCATGTTTGCCGAATTTTATTGAATTTTGGACAGTGTATTTGTAAAAGAAATGCAATTGTTGTGTATATATTAAATTCCAGGAAATAGTTGACCGAGTGCCAAGGAAGCAACTCAGTATAAAGATGAGGTGTATGGCTATAAGGAGAAGATATAGCTCCGTGGATAGAGTGATGTCTGGGGGTAGATAGCAGGGAGTACATCATTTTTTTCTAATTGTTAGAATATGTTCAAGTTTTGCTCAAAGATCTGTATTGGAATCTCTCATGTCTTCTCGTTAGGTACATGATTTAGATATACCCAGGCAAAGAATTACAGCAAAACTTAAATTTTCAAATCAAGCCCCCAGTATTGATGTTATTCTGAACCACACAGTAGTGATTGTAACGAGGTCAGTCAGATGGATCCATAGAATCTGAGTTCCCTGATTGGGGCTGTTAACCTGGTCTAATCAGGGAGCCCTGGCTGACAGTTATAAACAGGATGGTCAGAGGCTCTGTTCACTCTGAGAGCTGGCCTGAGGATACTGGACCAGTGTCAGGGGTGACTTAATGACGGGATATCAACCTCTGTGGAGTTATTTTACGCACTGTAGCCATTCAGAGTACAAGAGCAGGGAGATGCTGTTGAACTTGTACAAGACGTTTGTTCGACCTCAGCTGGAGGATTGTGTACAGCTGTGGGCCCCACATTATAGGAGAGGTGTGAAAGTGCATTGGAGAGAGTGCAGAAGCGATTTACAAGAATGGTTTCAGGTGTGTTTAGTGATAAGGATAGGTTGAAGAAGTTGGGACTGTTCTCCTTGGAGAGAAGAAGGCTGAGAGGGAGATCTGTTAGAGGTTTTCAACATCATGAGCGGGGGCTGGACAGAGTAAATAGGGAGAAGCTGTTCCCACATGTAAAAGGGACAAGGATGAGAGCGGCATAGATTGAAAGTGATGTGCAAATGAAGCAAGGGTTATGTGAGTCATAGAGTCATAGATTCATACAGCACAGAAACGGAAAAACGTTCTCACCCAGCGAGTAGTTAGGGTGTGGAATGCACTGCCTGGAAATATGCGGGAGGCAGGTTCCATTGAGGCATTCAAGAGGGGCACAGGATGGTTATTTGGATAAAAATGATTTGCAAGGGCACAGGGGGAATGTGGAAGATTGACACTTGGGAATGATCCTCATTTGACAAGCCGGTGCACGCACAATGGGCGGAATGGCCTCCTTCTGCACTATAACAATTCTGTGATATAACCGACTGAGTTAAATTGTCTCTCATGGAACTGAAACCCTGACAAAAAGCAAAGACATTCAGGAGATTATACAAAAGGTAGAAAATTGAGAAGGAAGATGCTTCTTTTCAGGGTTGGTTGAGGGAGGGAATAAATCTTGCATACTAACTTGATTTGGCCTTCTAAAATGCAACAGAATTGTTCATTTTTTGGCACTTAGCAGCTTATGAGTAACATTCATGGGCTAACTGTGTCTAAAATAGCAGTTCCGTTCCTGGCAGTTATCCTGACTCCAATCTGCTCCTGCAGCACAATATCAACCTGCTGTTCCTCTCCTTACCTGGCCCAGGGACAGCAGCAGAGTCTGTGTGCAAACAGACCTGGAAAACCGGAAACAGCCATAGAAGATCTACAGAGAAATGAAAATGCATGAGAGACAATTTCAAGATCCATTTGAGAAAATTGAGACTTAAAAAAATCAACCGTAATTTGCAAGACTCTGTAAATGGTCTATTCATTGGTCAGATTGATCAACGATGGCACAGAGCTTCTGGGTTAATTAGCAACTGAAGGGTAATATTGATTCAATAATCAGAGCAGAATTTTAGAGTGCAATGAAATTAACTGTGTAATGTATGACAGATGGATTTCCATAATGCACTTTTTGCTGTACTTACGTACTCCTATACTTAGTACATGTGACAAATAAATAAATCTAAATCTAAAATAAGAACATAAGAAATAAGAGCAGGAGTAGGCCTTTTGACCCCTCAAGCCTCTTAGATCATAGGATGTAGGAGCAGAATTAGGCCATTTGGCCCGTTGAGTCTGCTCTGCCATTCAATCATAGCTGATATAATTGCTGTTCTGCAATTCAGTACAGTTATGGCTGATCTGATTGTAACTTCAACTCCACTTTCCTGCTCTCCAGAATTATTAATTCCACTGTAAATCAAAAATCTGTCCATCTCAGCCTTGATGTTTTGATGCATATGAAACATGACACACACAAGCTTTTCCCAAAATTGATTAAGAAAATGCCATTTAGTCCAAAGCATCTGTTCCTATCCTATCGCAGGTACATGTACATTATCATGGGCCTGTTTAATTTTCAGAGGAAAAAGTTCTGTTTAACCGTTTCCTGATTCCCAAAAATATTTCAGAAAAAATGGAGCATATTCATCTACCAATACACTTCCACTATTCATAGTTGACACCCTTACCCTGACTCCAAGCACAGAGCTCCAGTTGAATGGAGCGTTTGAGAGTCTTGATCTTTACATACCCCTTGTAACCTCCAGTTTTATTGCAACCCAAATATCTGTCCCACCACCCTTTTGAAGAAAGTGAAACCAGAAGACATAAGAACAGAAGTAGGCCATACAGCCCATCAAGTGTGCTTCACCATTCAATGACATCATGGCTGAATCGATAATCCTCAACTCCACTTTCCTGCCTTTTCCCCATAACCCGTGATTTCCCTCACTGATTAAAAATCTGTCTCACCCTTGAATATACTTATTGACTCGACAGCTGTCTATGGTAAAGAATTCCACAGATTCACTACCCTCTGAGAGAAGAATTTCATCTTCATTTCTGTCATAAATGTGAAGCCCCATATTCTGAGATGATGCTCTCTTGTCCTAGACTCTCCCACAAGGGGAAACAACCTCTCCCCATCTCGCCTGTCAAGTCCCCTAAGAATCTTGTATGTTTCAATAAGGTCGCCTCTCATTCTTTTAAACTCCAAAGAATACAAGCCCAATTTCTCCTCATAAGACAATCCCTCCATACCTGGTATCAGCTGAGTGAACCTTCACTGGACTGCCTCCAATGCCAATAATTTTTTCCATATATAAGGGGCCCAAAACTGTTCACAATATTCCAGACATGTGCTTAAAGTTCCTGTACCAATTTTAAAGAAGGAGTAACCCATTTAATTTGAAGAATTGAGTGCAAGTTTTCAATAACATTTACCAAAGTGTTCAAGAAACTGGTATATACTTAGTATCAGCAATATAACTATGGAGTATTCAACATGATAAACTTGCAAAACCACGTCACATTGATCATGGGTTCATATGATGGGAACTCATTGAGGAACTATCTGACCTCTGATCTGTTCAGTCTCCAGCAAAATGAATTTGCAAAACTGCTTCTCTGGTTCCAACCTATCTGGGGACATGCTTTGTGCACTCACATTGTACCAATTCCAGAACTTCAATTGAGCTGACTTTGCAGTGCAATACTGAGGGAGGGTGGAATCGTCCAAGATGCTGCCCATCAGATCAGTTGTTAGGCCAAGGTCCTGACTGTTCAGAAAACAAAAGTGCTGGAGATCACAGCAGGTCAGGCAGCATCCATGGAGAGAAAGCAAGCTAACATTCATCTAGACTCTAAATGTTAGCTTGCTTTCTCTCCATGGATACTGCCTAACCAGTGTGACTCATGGCATTTTTTGTTTTCAGTTCAGATTCCAGCACTTGCAGTAGTTTGCTCCGATGTCCTGTCTGTTCACATGGGTATGGAGGATCTCTTGGCAATATCTAGAGAAACCTTTCCTAATATCTTAGCAAAGTTCTTTCCTCAACGAACACTGTCAAAACGTCTGTAAGAGCTGCAGCTACATTTGCCTCTATAAATATTCACTGACTATGAAGTGCTTCAAACTGTTTTTGAGATATAGTAAGGTCTCTATAAAAATACCACAAATAGCAAGAGGTTTTATAATTGATATTTGAAATAGGAGAAGAGAAAGGAGGAGATTTGATTGACAATCGCAAGGGGACCAGGCAGAGTACATGGAGAGAAATGATTCCCACTGACTGAAGGGTCAAAACCAGAGGGCACTGATTTAAGGTGATTGGCAAAAGAAGAAATGCCAACATGGGGAAAAACCCATTCACTTGGGGAAGTGGTTGGGATCTGGAATGCCTTGTCTGAGGTTGTGTTGGTGGCAGATTTGATCAGAGCTGTCAAAAAAGAACCAGATAAACAGCTGAAAAGAATAGAATTGTGGAGGTCCAGTTTAAAAGGCCAGGGAATGTGGAGTGAATGACCAGCCTTGTGTGCTCCAACTATCCCATGATTCTATAATAGCAAAGCTGGTAGATGGGTATCACAGTACCCATGTTTGTCTGTTGACAGTGACCCTAACTGTGTGTTCCATAATGATGAACTTAAAAACAAATTGTGTCTTTTGCAGACATTAAGAGCAGCAGGGAAGACGTACATGATCTTCTTTGTTCTTGTCATCTTCGTGGGTTCTTTTTACCTGGTCAACCTGATTCTGGCTGTTGTCGCCATGGCCTATGAGGAGCAGAACCAGGCTACCCTGGAGGAAGCTGAGCAGAAAGAGCAGGAGTTCAAACAGATGCTGGAACAACTGAAGAAGCAGCAAGAGGATGCTCTGGTTTGCATCTTAAATCTTTTATATCGGGGTGGGACGGTCTTGAGTTATTTGAGGTTAAACTTTAAAAGAAGAATTAATCACTCTGCTGGTATTAGATTTACAATATCGCCTTAATCAGTGCCTTTTTTTTCTCTACACACACACGCACACCCTCTCTCTCTCTCTCTCTTGCTCTCTCTCTCTCGCTGTCTGGCTCTCATGCTCTCTCCCATGCCCCTGTCTTCATGGAGGACCTGTGTTGCACTGAGAGATTCCTACTGACTCATATTTAGACAGGAACCAGCACACCTGCTACCAACAGAACATCCATAACTGGTATAAGATGGGTAAAATGGCCTCTGTCTGAGCTGGAGTACTTCTTTGATCAGAAATAGTGAACGTAGTGGGACACATAGGTGTCTGCTTAGTTAGTGCCATAGCGCACATTGCAAGAACTTTGGTTTGAGTCCTGTCATTTTGTTTCAGTGAGACAACTCAATTGACAGTGAAGATTTTTTTTTCTAGCCCAGTCTATTGAAAAAGACAAAAACAAAGAGGGAATGGGAGTATACGTTGCTTTTCAATGTCTGTTTTATAAACTCAAGATAATGAATCAAAGATTTTTATATAAGACATTTGTTAAATCATAATTCACCTTCTGCTGCTATTTATTGGAGAGGTTGAATTTCCCCTTTTCAGTAATGTTACTGAAGAACCTGGCTGCCCTTCTCGATTTTGCAACCCCATACTCAGTTTTCACAAAGGGCTATAGATGGTCTGAATGGGTGAGCAAAACTCCAGGAGTTGGCCTGCAATGTGGGGAGGTGTCAAAGACAAATCTCAGTGTTTCCAGGTCAGGACTGGAGTGGGGATGGGATCTCAATAGCCCTGCACGCAACCTGGAAAGCTAGTGTACAGGTACAAAAGATCAAAAGGGCTGTGTCTCATGTGGGCTGAAATACAAAGGAGCAAGTGAGAGGCTTCAGTAACACAGAGCCGCAGTCATGCTCCATGTGGTGCACTGCATTCAGTTTTGGATATTGTACCTCAGGAAGGAGATGTTGAATATGAATGGTGGACAGTGCAGATTTAACAGCCTGATACCAGGGTTTAACAAGTTAAATTATAATAACAGGTATGGTGAGAGATTGCATGAAGAAAAGATAGGTAGATGGGATTGGAGTTAGTCCAATGGGAATGTAATTTTTTGGACAAATTGATCAGTATCAGACTGGCTTACTGTGCATTAATAGCAAGAAAGTAGGCAAAAAATCTCTTTAAAGGCCTGACTGTAGACCATCTGCTTCAAAACCCAAATTAGCATGCAGTTGGTTCTAACATTTCACATTCTAACACACTCTTCATTTCCCGTTCATAACATTTGAAATTACTAATTTGAAATTGTAAAACTAATGAATCATCGCATTGTTAAAAGGCACAAATAAGCTGTAACTAAGATTACAAAAACTTAAGCCTGGTTAAAATTTTATATGAACATTTTAATATTGACCCAGTTTCTCCACAACATTGCCAAACTATTTTGGAAATCAATGCTTCAAGCTGTTAGGTCAGTGTATTACGAATCTGCTGAAGGTGTTTCTATTTCCCATGATTTTTCTTTGCGTATTAAACTCCTTGTATTAGTATTTGAGCATTTTGCAATGACAATCAAGTTTCTAGGATCAATTCTGTTAACTTTTGAGGACTTCAAGTCATTTCAGTGTTTTTGTTTTCTTGATTGAACCAACACACCTTCTTTATCACCTTCCCTCACATTTTCAGTTCCCAATATGTTTTAACTGCTTACCTCTGTATATTCCTACATTAATTATTTTTGAAGTTGGGTGAATGACCTTAGTTTCTTGGGCACTTGTGGATCACAATATTGTAAATTAGGGTTCATGACTATCTTCTGAATTCTATCCATTTTGATAGATGAAGTAAAGCTTCTCCAAATGCTCTGGCCTCTAACATACAGTTAACTACTTTGTATCAATAGGTGTATACAGTTTTGAGTCCAGCAGAACATTTAATGCATTAGTCCCTCAAGAAACAGCCCATTTCAACATTCTCCACAAGATGGAGAATATGAAAGCAACTGACTGCAGATACTGAAAATACTCAGCACCTTGGGTAGCAACTCTGGAAAGAAAAGGCAAGAATTCAGATTTCCTTTCAGAAGCATCTGTACTGTCAGGGAAGGGTTGGCAAGATAAATGAGTTAGTCTGGCAGAATATTGCTATGGCAACAACTAATGAAAGTCCTGCACTAGAATTTGATCTTCTCTGAAGTGAATTTTAAAGTCTTTTTAGATCAAGAAATAACTCTGGGACACAACAACTGCAGTCATTTGAACATTCTGTACAAGTCGGAGAATTAGATGTTATTGTTATTGAATGGGTAATTGAACCATTGAAATCTTAATCACATAAAAGGCCTTTATTTTCTCTACTGAAATTTCAGCCTTGCCTCAGTCTATTTCATGATCTTCCTTATTTGGATTGTGCATTAGTGAAATTAGGGATAGGATTAGATCCAAGGAAGGGCCATTCAAATTGACCAAAAAAAGGAACAGCAGACCTGGGGAATGGGAACAGTTTAGATTTCATCAAAGGAGGGCAGAGGGACTGACAAAGAGAATGGGAAAATAGAGTATGAGGGAAAGCTTGTAGGGAAGACACAAACTGATTGGAAAAGCTTCCATAGGTATGTGAAGAGAAAAAAGTCGTGAAGATTAATGTAGATCCGTTGCAGTCAGAAACAGGGGAAGTTATAATGGGGCACCAGGAGCTGGCAGATCAATGAAATACATATTCTGGTTCTTCCTTCACAAAGGAGAACACAAATAATGTGTCAGAAACGTTGGGGAACACCAGGGTCTAGTAAGAGGGAGGAACAGAAGGAAATCAGTATTAGTAGGAAAATGGTGTTGGAGAAATTGATGGGACTAAAGGCAGATAAATCTCCAGGGCCTGATAATCTACATTCCAGAGCCCAATTGGAAACTACTCTAGAAATAGTGGAGGCATAGGTGGTCATCTTTCAAGATTCTATGGACTTTGAACAGTTCCTATGGATTGGATGGTAGTTAATATAACCCTACCATTTTTAAAAAAAGGAGAGAGAAAAAAAACTGGGAGTTATAGACTGGTTAGCCTGAAATCGGTAGTGGAGAAAACAATATAATACTTATAAAAGATTCTGTCGCAGAGTTCTTGGAATACAGTGGCTGGGTCAGACACAGTCAGCATGGGTTTACAAAAGGGGAGTCAGGCAGTGCAGGCTTAAAGAGCCAAATGGCTTACTCCTGTCCTGATTTTCTGCCTTCTTTAGGGAAGGAAATCCGCCATCTGGTCTGGCCTACATGTGACCTCAGACCACAATGATGTAGTTAACTCTTGGCTGCACTGTGGGCAATTATGGTTGGGCATCAAATGCTGGTCTCGCCAGTGGCACCCACATCCCATAAATGAATAAGACAAAAAGAGAAAGTTTAAAAATAGTGGCATTTGAAATTAATGTCACCCCAGTGAATGTCAGTGATTATAATTGTAGATGCAAAGAGTGCATGCTCCCATGTTGTATACTGTTGCTTGCACAGGAACCTCCTTCAGTTCACTTTCTATCCTCCCCAATCTGTGGGGAGGTTCAACCAGCTCATTGCTTGAGAAAGTTTGCATTGAGCCTTCAAATCAGTGTATAATTCTTCTTTCTGATGACAAATGAAGAATTAGAGGGGTCATGAGGTAAAAGTTACAGACTTTTAAATACAATGACATTTTGTCTTTAGGTTCTTCATAAATAGGTGAAGAATCAAAAATGGAGTTTCCAGAACCTTTGAGTAGCTCCATGTCATAATGGATAAAAGCATAAATCTTTTTGAACTTCAAATGTCAAAAATCATAGATGTCTTTTCTTCTTTTAATACTTGTGATAATTCTTCCATACAAAAAAACTGCCAAAGAAGTGGAGTGAAAGGATAATTTTGTTATAATATTTCTAAAAATATTGTCTTATATTTCATTATATTTTACAAAACTCTACTTTGAAATCATGTCCTTTCAACATATACATTTATAGATTAAATGGAGCAACAGATTACTGTAAAATATTGAATTCCAATATCTTAATATACATCAAAGGTCCAGATAAATCCTTAATACCTTACTCTGACTCCTTGCTAAGAAACTTTCTGGGGTTTTATGTTAGGTCTCGGAATGAATAATGCATGACTTTGTTTATCAAACTATCTTCTATTTAAGTCATGTATTTAATTTACTGGCCCTTGATTAATTAACTTACCCTGAAGCTGTTGAGAAATTGAATTAGTGCTTTCTTGCTAAATCATTGAAACAAAAACCACACCTCAAAATTGTACACTCAATGCTATTTATTGGCCACCATACCATTACAAACCATAGTGAAGTTTCAGCAGAGAAAGAAGCCATTCAGCCCATTGTCTCTGCACGGGCAGAATAAACTAGCTACCCGTTCTAATCCCACTGTCCAACCCCTGGTCTGCAGCCTTGCAGGTTCCAGCTTCAAGGGAAGATCCAAGTTCATTTTCAATGAGTTGAGGGTTTCCACATCAACTGCCGAACTGGGCAGTGAATTCCAGGCACCCACCACTCTCTGGATGAACAGGGTTTTCCTCAGACCCCCTCTAATCCTCCTACCAATCATCTTAAATCTGTACTCTCTGCTAATTGATCTCTCCACTAGCGCACACAGGTCTTTTTTGTCCATTCTATCTAAGCCCTTCATTATTTTGTACACCTCAATTAAGTCATCCCTTAGCCTACTCTGTTCTAAAGAAACCAAATCTAGCTTCTCCAGACGTGGGTGACACTCCTGTTTGTACCTGTCACCTGTCAGCCAGGGCTCCTTGATTGGACCAGATTAACAACCCCAGTCAGGAAACTCATGTGGTCCACCTGGCTGACCTTGTTCCAATCACTACAGAAGATCATGTCTTACTAACTTAATTGAATTTTTTGAGCAAGAGCCAAGGAGGATTGATGAGGGTACTGCAATGCATGTTATCTACATGGATTTTAATAAGGCATGGTAAGGATAGGGTGAGTAGCCAAGGTCTTTATCTCAGAGTAGAGGAGTCCAAAACTAGAGAGCATAGGTTTAAGGCGAGAGGGGAAAGATTTAAAAGGGACCTGAGGGTCAACGTTTTCATGCAGAGGGTACTGTGTGAGGAAGTGGTGGAGGCTGGTACGATTACAACATTTAAAAAGCATCTGGATGGGTACATGAATAGGAAGGGTTTAGAGGGATATGGGCCAACTGTTGACAGTCTAGATCAGTTCAGGTTATCTGGTCAGCATGGATGAGTTGGACTGAAGGGTCTGTTTTTGTGCTGTTTGACACTATGACTTTATTTGACAAGTTCCCACAATGCACACTCGTCAGAGAAATTAAAGCCTGTGTGATACACATTCGTAGGGTGGAGGTAGCTTTTACGAGGGGACATAGTTTTAAAGTGAAAGGAGGTAGATATCGGGGACACGTCAAAGGTAGGTTCTTTACTCAGAGAGTGGTCAGGACGTGGAATGCATTGTCAGAGAGGGTAGTGGAGTCGGCCTCATTAGGGGCATTTAAGCGGCTATTAGATAGGCATATGGATGATAGTATAAGGTAGCGGTGGAGGTTAGATAGACCTTAGGTTTAGGGTAAAAGTTCAGCACAACATCGTGGGCCGAAGGGCCTGTACTGTGCTGTACTGTTCTATGTTCTATGTTCTATACAGGGAATGTGGCAAATTGGCTCAGTGACAGGGAAACAAAGGTTACAGTTGACTGATGCTTTTATGAGTGGTAAACAGTTTCCAGTTTACCCTGTTCCACAGGGTTCAGTGTTGGGTCCCGTGCTGTTTATAGTGTATATTAATAATTAAGACTTAAACTTGGGAGGTATGATTGGGAAATTTGCAGGCCACACAAAAATTGGCTGTGTAATTGATGGTGAAGAAGATGCCTGTTGAACTGCAGGATAATATCGATCACTGGGTCGAGTTGGTGGAAAAGTGGTAAGTGGAATTCAATCCAGAGAAGTGCAAGGTTATACATTTTGGGGAGGACACACAGAATGAAGCAATACACAACAAACGGGACAGTGTTGACAGGGACAGAGATACCTTGGAGTGAAAATTGCAAATTAAAGGTTGGCACACAACCTTTTAATATACTTACATAATTGCAATCAGAGTTTCTGAGCAGTTGAGTGGCAAATCAATAATGGAGAAAGTTACTTAACAAAGTGAGCAAAGGTTTCCCAGGCAAGTCGTGTATATCTCTCAATCTGCACTTACAGATGCCGAGTAACCAAAGTAGTGGCTAGAGTCTGAGATGAAGAATTAGCAAGATTAATTTGAGAATACCTTCTTAAACAGCTGAAAGGTTACCTGTTATGAGGAAGGGTCATTTGACCCGAAATGTTAACTCTGATTTCTCACCACAGATGCTGCCAGACCTGCTGAGCTTTTCCAGCGATTTCTGTTTTTGTGACAGGTTGTCAGTCTTGACTCACTAGCCTATCAAAGAGCTCAAGTCTATGTGTACAAGGAGTCATGTTCTGAGCTTGCCTCATGAGCCTTACAATTGAGTAAATCTCCCTCTTTCCCTGACTTTGGGTGTTAGCTTCTGGAGTGTTGAGTTGATAAGCCCACCTTTACAGCAGCGGTACCTATGTACCTTTGCTTAGAACTGAACCCACCAAATGACTAAATGTGAACTGGCTTCACTCGCACTGTTCCCAATTTCAGACTATTCGCAGTTAGGTCACACTCTTAACTCTGCCTAAAAGGCTGGTGTAGTTTCAAGCTAGCTTCAAACCTCTGCCATTCTGTCCTTAAAGATACCCTCTTTTGCGCTTGCTCAGTAAAAGATGTAGCAGAAGAGGAATTAAATAAAGATTGGCTTCTAGTTAACACACGGTGAGGAAGATTTCTACTTCTGGCAAAGGCAAAGAAAAACCTGTCTGTTGAGAAGGGCTTGCCCACACACCTCCCCCCCCCCCCCACCCACCATGCATCATTCCCAAAAAGTCCATGCTGAGGGATGGATTGCCAAGCAGGTCAGCAGCACCCTTCCAAACCCATCTTCCTTAATGCCTTACTTTTCCCAAAAGGAACCACGCAAATGTGAGGTGATTGTGACCCATTTTACGGTTTGCGTGCCTCCATTAAAGCCTGCATTTAAGGCTTTTGTTCCAGCACTCAGTACAGCAGTTGAACTCCGTATTGTATGGCCACTGTCTGGCAGGTTTACGTGGTACTTCTTTCACCAATTCCAAAAGCAACATTTTGGCCCTGTTCCTATATTGCCATAAGTCCAGGTACTTTTTTTTTAATAAACTCTTGGGATGTAGGCATCGTTTGGTTAGTTAGCATTTGTTGCCTGATGTTGTGTTGCCCTTGAGAAAGTGGTGGTGAGCTGCCTTCTTGAAGTGCTGCAGTCCAAAAGCTTGTGATTTCAAATAAACCTGTTGGACTGTAACCTGGTGTCATGTGAATTCTGACGTGGTCCACCCCAGCCCAACACTGGCATCTCCACATCTTGTCTTTCTAGATGGTAGAGGATGTGAGTTTGGAAGGTGCTCTTCTCATGGGATTCTACATCAGTAAGACAGATTAGCAGTTGATGGGGACAATCTGTATTACCTTTGAGGCCATTTACTCTTATGACAGTTCATTAAATTGGAATTCATAATACCACAAGATTAGAAACAGAAAATAGGAACAGGAGTAAGCCATTTAGCCCTTCGAGGCTGCTCCAGCATTCAATGCCTCACTGCAGTACCGTCATCAAGCTTGAACAGAAAGAAGGTCTTGCATTTATGTTGCACCTTTCCTGACCTTTAGATGCTTTACTGCCAATGAAGCACTTTTGAAGTCTGTTGTAATGTTGCCCAGGTTGAATCTGAATAAGCCTCTGCTCTTTCTAAATATCTGCTAACTGATTGCAGCATATATGTGCCTGATTGCAAGCACTGAATAAGAAGAGGCTATTCAGTCCTTTCCTTCCACAGGCCATGTGCAATCCATTCATTTCTGACTTTACTGAACATATTTCAACACTTGAGGAGTCTTTAGAATCATACTGGACTTGAAACGTGAAGTCTGTTTCTCTCTCCACAGATCCTGCGAGACTTGCTGAGTTCCTCCGGCACTTTCTGTGTTTTTGCTTCATATTTCCAACAGCCACAGTTATTTGCTTTCAATTGAGGGACAGTGAAAATGGTTTGTTGCATGTAATGCTTTCAATCCCTGAGGTAACTTGTAAAGAACAAGGGAAAACAAGGAATAAGGAAAAAACAAATTATTTGATAGCTCACTCCCAGTCTTTCCACAGCCTGTGACAATATTGCCTGATCATCACATCAGATCAGATCAGATTGACATTCCTCTCCTGGGGAAAGTTTGCAGTCACCAAACTGACTGTGCAGCACATTAATCCAGAACAAACTGCATTTTCCATTTGGCCATTTGCTTTTCTGAACCTGGATTGCATGGACCTAGCTCAGGAAGCACTGAGCTTAAAAATATACTCCTTGATATTAGTAGATGTTTGAATTCCCTTTGCTACTTTACTGGATGCATCTCCACCAGTTAACAATAAACCAGTTAATGCTTTTGTTAAAAAAGCAAACATTAATTTCCTGTTCCCCCCTCCCCAACCCACATGCATCCACAAATATTTGTACAACATAGTCTTAAAGCTATTTTGTTTTCTCAGCATTTGATCACTCCACTGAACCTTGCAGCCTTCATTTCTGTTTGTTTCTTTGATTTATTGTTGTCACATGTACTGAGATACAGTGAAGTGTTGTTTTACATGCTATACAGGCAGATCATACCATACAAAGTGCATATGAACAAGAGTAGACAACTTGGCCCTTCAAGCTTGCTCTGCCATTCAATAACATCATGGCTAATCTGATTTTAACTGCAACATTCCCACATATCCCCTGATAATCTTCCATTCCCTTGGCAATCAAGGATATATCTCCTTCTGCCTTAAAAATATCAAAAGTTTCTGCATCCACTGCCTTTTGAGGAAGGGAATTCCAAAGACTCACAAAGAAAAAAAATGTTTCCTCATTTCTGTCTTAAATGGGCACCCCCTTATTTTTAAACAATGACCCCACGTTCTAGGTTGTCCCACAAGAGGAAACATCCTTTCCACATTCACCCGGTCAAGCCCTCTCAGGGTTTTATATGTTTCAGTTAAGTCACCTCCGACTCTTCCAAACTTCGGAAGATACAGGCCCAGTCTGCCCAGCCTTTCCTCATAAGGGAATCCAGTCATTCCAGGTATTAGTCTAGTAAACCTTCTCTGAACTGTTTCCAATGCAATAACACCCTTCTGTTAGTACCGTGACCAGTACTGTACACAGTTCTCCAGATGCAGTCTCAACAATGTCCTGGATAATTAAAGCATAACCTCCCTACTCTTGCATTTGAATCATCCATTCGTCCACTTTTCATCTTGAATCAGCATTTGTGAGCACAAGATCGTTTTGTCCAATGAATCAGCTCTGTACAAGTCTACCCTGGCTACACTAACCTAGATGTGTTTAACCTCGTGTATTGTAAAATATGATCCACATTTCTTATGAGCTGATGACATTTATGTAATGCCATGCATATTTTTGTGATTTGAGCTCGACAGGGGATGCTAAAAATTCGTTTATTTTCAAAAGTTTCAGTTGTCATCGACAAAATGGTTTCAAATCCTCACCCTGGAGTTTGTCAACTCACCATTTCACCCAAATTTCTTCAAGATCACTTTTATTCCTTTGTGTTATCCAATCCATGTAATTGTTTCAGTGAAGCTCCGGTTGAGATGTAACTCTGTGTTTATTAATCTGTGTGTCTAGCTGGCTGCTGCGACAGCCACCTCTGCGGGCACTGTTTCAGAAGATGCGCTTGATGAAGATGAGGAAGGAAGAATGTCACAAAGCTCATCAGAGTTGTCGAAACTCAGCTCAAAAAGTGCCAAGGAAAGGAGGAACAGGCGGAGGAAGCGGAAGCAGACAAGGGGACATTCGGAAGGGGAGGAGAAAGGCGACCATGAAAAGATTTTAAAGTCAGAATCTGACAATGGAATCAGTAAACGGGGCAGGCATTTAACACACGGAATGAAATATCCCATGAACCAGGTACATGGTTTCTTGATTTGTTCCAGCCATTGTGGTCTGTGATACAAATGGAGACAAATTGAGTAAGCAGCTTAGCTGACGAATGCTATTCCATAGCAATAGATCATTAGGCATATATTGTTCAGTCTTCATAAAATCACTGCTGCCAAAGCAAAGTTGAATATTATATGAAATAATGAATTTAGCAGTGGGCTTGGCAATTATAGAATTATAGAAATATATTTTGCATCATCACCTCTGAGTGCAATCACAGCATTGCTCAGCAGCAGAAGTTTCTGCATGTTTAAGCTCTAGTGTACTACAGATTGCAGTGGTCATTGGGGAATTTCTGAAGTACAATCTCCATCTTAAAACTTTTCCTTGCAGCACAGTGCAGATACTAGCATTTCTACCAATGTTGCTAAGCTCTCGGGGGAATGTAAGTGTCCTGAGGTGACTAGCCATAGATTCTTCCAGAAGCACTGATGCCAGGCTTGAATTTGGAAGGTCTCATAGTGTTCTGCTTGAGATTGACACCTTGCTTTGTCAGGAATTGCAGACTTGAAATGGTATCCTGCAACAGAACCTGCACCACTTCTGCTCTCCATTTCAACAGAAGGTATCGCTGTAGAAAGTGTAAATAATGGAATTGCTGAAAGAAGGTATCAGCAAAGGCTCCATCACGGATGCCACTGCAGTGTTAATGGAACTGACCACTGGCTGCATGTTGGACAGATTGATCTGAACGCTGTGTGTGAACCCTCGAGCCAGATTGAAGCTAGACTCATCCCAGCTCCACAAGTTGTCCAATGTGATGAGTATTTCCTGGTGTATACCCATCAGCCTACTTCAGCAGTTTGTTTGATTCATCCACAGGAGCTGGGCTTCACTGGCTGGGCCAGGATTTATTGCCTATCCCTAATTAACTTGAAGAAGGTGATAGTGTGTCTTTTGAAATCTGCAGTCCATGTGCTGTAGGGTTGACCCACAATGCCCTTAGGGAGGGAATTCCAGGAGGTTGACCTAGCGACACTGAAGGAATGGCGATATGTTTCCAAGTCAGGATGGTGAGTGGCTCAGAGGAGAACTTGCAGGGGGTGGTGTTCCCATGTATCTGCTGCCCTTGTTCTTCTAGACAGAAGTGGTCGGGGGTTTGTCTGAGGATCTTTGGTGAATTTCTGCAGTGCATCTTGTAGATGGCACACACTGCTGCAACTGAGCGTTGGTGGTGGAGGGAGTGGATACCTGTGGATGTGATGTCAATCAAGCGGGCTGCTTTGTCCTGGATAGTGTCAAGCTTCTTGAGTGTTGTTGGGGTTGCCCCCATCCAGGCAAGTGGGGAGTATCCCATCACACTCCTGACCTGTGCCTTGTAGATGGTGGACAGGCTCTGGGGAGTCAGGAGGTGAATTAGTCGCTGCAGGATTCCTAGCCCCTGACCTGCTGTTATCAGCCACCGAATTTATCACACTCCTGACTTGTGCCTTGTGGATGGTAAACAGGCTTTGGGGAAGCTAGGACTGGGGAGCTGGAACCTGTGGCGTTATTAGAAGTCAATGCATTTCGAAGTAACTTATTTTAACCACTGTATTACCTTCCCATTGGTCAGTGGAAGGTAGCTCCTCACACGAGTGTCAAATTGTAACAAAAAAAACAGACTTGAAAGGGCTGGTGTCAAAGCACATTGGTGCTGCAGTGCGTTTTTGTAGTGTGATGGCTCAGCTTACTGTCAACAAGTCACTGTACTGTGACTTCCCAATCTCAATTGAACTGTTGCAGGAAGCTCAAGCTATGCTATTTTACACAGTGACTCCTTCATTCATAATTAGAAACAACTGGCATTAACTGAAACTTGGGGACAGGCTGCATGTTCACCTCTGTTCTGACAATATTGCATTGTGCGGCAAGACACCTCTGACTGTTGTTCTAGGTCCTTATTCAAAATCGAGAGAAATTATTTTGCTGCTGTATGTTGAGTTTTATAAAATGCAAAAGCTGTTTCAGGGCTCCCAATGATTAAATTATAATGGGCAACATTGACTTGAAATTAAGCAATCCAAATCAGAAAGCACAGTTGATGGCCATTCGGTCCATTGAACTTGTGAGTGTCATCAAAAAAAAGTCTGAAAGTTGTTGTTTGAAATTCAGCTATTTTAAGTGGAGTTAATCTGTTTGCTTTAAGCATACTTCAAACAGTGGAGAAAGCAATTCCATGCAAATGCATCATGAAAATATTGCACAGCTTAATTTCAAGGTTTCTAGGCTATACATAATTGCTTTGCTAAATGTTATCGTCATCAGCTGCTTTATCTGTGAATAACACCATATTGAAATAACTCCACAGAAACCAGTATCCTGTCACCAAGTCACCCTTTATTTACACATGGAGAGACCCTGACACTGATCCAGCTTCCTCAGAGCCAGCTCTCAGAGTGAACACACCCTCTGACCCTCCTGTTTATATCTGTCAGCCAGGGCCCCCTGATTGGACCAGATTAACAGCCCCAATCAGGGAACTCATATTCTGTGAGGACTACCTGGCTGACCTCGTTACAATCACTACATCTCTTCCCCCTCTGAGGCTGAGGACATAGACCAGTTATTTTTCTTGTAGCTCCTCCTACAGCGTTTAAGCACCGGGTCAGGTTCCTCTGACTCTGCCTGTGGTAGACGCGGTGTGTAACGTGCAGGAGGTCGCCTCTTGCGCCTGGAGCATCTCGGAAGAAATTCACTGTTCTTCAGGCAGCAAAGGCATCGAGGCGGAGACATCCACTGTGTCCATCTCAGATTCTGAGGTATCTTCAATGCTTGACAGAGATGGAGAACCCAGAGGTTCCGGAAGAGTTGGAAAGGACGTCGAGAAGCTGGACACGTTTTGCTCCTGCACTGTTTGCGAGTTTGTGGCTTCCATATGGTTCCATTTGCTTGTGCAGGACTGTCGCACCTACTCAAATTTTGTACGTCACTGGACCAGACCTCGCGTTGACCATGCCTCTTACCCATGCAGGGCCATTCCCATGGTTCCTACACCAAATTTCATTCCCTGAAGTAAACTGTCTCTCTCACTCAGCAGAATTTTGTGTCCGGCATTAGCATTCCTGATGTCATTTCACCCTCTCCCCTCCCCAGGTCCAGGAAGATCAATTTAACCTGATGCGGCGTCTTCTCCCCAGTAGCAACTCTGCTGGAGCTGTCCCTGTAGTTACATGAGGAGTGGTCCTATAATTGAATAGGAACTGGGACAGTTTGGTGTCGCATGAAGCTGTAGGTTGTTTCTTTAAGCCTGCCCTTAAAGTTTGGACTGCTCTTTCTGCCAGACCATTGGATGATGGATGGTATGGAGCTGTCCATATATGACGAATGCCATTTGACTTTAGGAAATACTCAAATGCCCTCCTGGTAAATGATGGCCTGTTATCTGTGACCAACACTTCCGGGAGTCCATGTGTTGCAAAAAATGGATACAGTTTTTATATTGTCATCCCCGTGTTTGACGAATGAAACCTATGCATGTCCAGCCACTTTGACGGGGCATCCACCACGACTGAGAACATTGAGCCCATGAATGGACTGTCATAGCCAACGTGTAGCCGAGTCCAGGTTTACCCGGCCATTCCCATGAATGTGGGGGAGGTGCTGGCGGTAATTTTTGTCCTTGTTCGCACTCTGGGCACTGCCCCCACCAATGCGACTATGTCTGCATCCAATCCTGGCCACCAGATGTAAGTTCTTGCCACCATCTTCATTTAGGAAACCCCTGGATGACCCTGGTGGCGTTCAGCCAGTATCTGGTGGTGATCATTGCTCGGGACAATCTCTCTTGCTCCCCATAATAATATGCCGTCCTGTACTATGATTCGGTCTGTCCGGGTCCAAAAAGGTTTCAATTCTGGTTGTGACGGCCCTTTTGTTTCCCCCATCACCACCAACTGTTTCAGTTTTGCCAGGACTGGATCTTTTTGCGTTCAAAGTCTGATATTGTTAGCTGTGACTGGAAGTGTGTGCAGAAAATTTAAAACCATTATTGACTCTTCCACTGGTGGTACCACCGGTGGTGTATCTGCCAGCAGGAGGCAGGTCAGTGCATCTGCAATCACTACTTGGCCTCCCAGTCGGTGTTCCAACTTGTAATTCTATGCACCTAGTGTTAGAGCCCAGTGCTGAATTCGGCAGTACTGCCTTGTCCTGTTTAAGTCGACCCAGCAGAGGTTTGTGGTCCAATAATTCACAAATTTACGTCCGCAATGGAACTTGCTGACTCCAAATATGACTGCCAAACCTTACTTCTCTGTCTGGGCATATTTATGCTCTGCATTAGCCAAAGTCCCGGATACATACACTATTGGACATTCGGCTCCATTAGGCCACCTATGAGGTAATACTATCCTGATGCAGTACAGGGAGGCATCGCATGTCAATATCAGATCTCACTTGGGATCATAGTGTGTTAACACTTTAGAGAATGATGGCTGTTCCTTCACTTCCCTGAAAGCTACGGCTCGTCTACATGACTATTTCCAAGGCTGACCCTTTTTTAAGAGTTGATGCAAAGGTGCCGGGATGGAGGCCAGATTACATATGAACTTTCCGTAATAATTCACCAATCCAAGGAAAGATCTAAACTCCAGTACAGACATGGAAGGTGGAGCATGTTTGGTTACTGTCACTTTTATCTTCCAATGGGTATAACCCGGCCTTGTTAACTCTGTAGCCCAGGTAGGTCACTTGGGGCGCCTGGACCACACATTTCTTCCCTTCTAAGGCATATGTCCACCTTGGAGAAACATCTAAGAACTGTGTCCAAGTTCTTTAAGTGCTCCTTATTGGTTTTCCCTGTTATTAGGACATCAGTCAGATAAATGGCAACCTGGGGTACACCTTGCAAAATGTTCTCCATCGTCCGCTGAAAAATGTCATAGGCTGATGATACCCCAAACGGAAGTCTCATATATTGGTACAAGCCCTTATGATTATTAATTGTAGCATACTTCTGAGAACCTTCATCTAACTGCAATTGCAGGTACGCGTGGATCATGTCCAACTTTGTAAAGGGCAACTCCCCTGCCAGCTTTGCATATAAATCCTCTATGTGAGGGATTGGGTGTTTATCCAGCTGTGAAAAGCTGTTTACTGTTCGTTTAAAATCCCCACAAAGATGACCCAGCCCATTGGGCTCATAATCATTATGACCGGTGCTACGAATTCTGCAAACTCAACTGATGTTGCCTTTGCTTTCTAGCTTTCTGCTTTCTGCCTCTACTTTTGCACATAAGGCAAATGGCACTGGGTGGGCCTTGCAGAATCGTGGAATTGCTTCCTGGTCAATATACAAGGTGGCCTTGGCCCGTGTGATAGTCCCCAGACCTTCCGGAAAAATGTCCAGGTATTTAATTAGGACCTCACTCAGGCAAACATTTTCTAATCGTAAAATGTCGAGCCAATCTAGGTAAATCTTTTTCAAGAAATTTAACTGCTCCAAACCAGATGTAAGTGGACTTTCCAGGGTGTGCACTCTCCTGGATTCCAGTCTATAAGTTCTCTTCCTCAGTTTAGACCTAGTGGGACTCTTATACTGCCTTGAGTCCACATACTGGCAGCAACTAGAATGGCTTGCCGGCTCTGATCCTGAAGCAAAAGTTAACCACTTGGCCGGGGCTTGGCTTTGTTTTGGGGTTTTGCTGTGGGCTGACGTAGAGTCCTTCTGATCAGGATATGTCCTGAGTGAGGCTCTGTAATTGCTTTCACTCAATGATATTCCCCAAACTCAGTTGGAATGGCGAGGGTGTTCACTTTGTTCGGAATACCCTGTAGCTCACGTGTTCCACTTGCCATGTTTTCCAACGGTAAACCAGTTGTAGTGCCTGTTTGAAGTCCACTTGGACTTCAGCTAGTAGGTCCTTTTGCATGGTTACATCATTAATCCCACATAACAAACGGTCTCTCAGCATATCATTAAGGGTTAAAACTAAAGTTATATGCCTCTGCCTGTTATCTTAACATAGTGAAAAGTCTTGATATGGATTCCCTGGTTCTCGAATTGCCAAATAAAACCGATAGCATCTCAGAGTTAGAGGAGGCTTGGGTCATAATATTCCTTATCTAAATCCATCAATTCTTGAAATGTTTTAGTATTTGGTGCCTCAGGATTAGGCTCCTAATAACCTAAACAGCTGCAGATCCACAGATCTATTTTCTGAAGAAGGGTCTAGGCCCGAAACATCAGCTTTCCTGCTCCTGTGATGCTGCTTGGCCTGCTGTGTTCATCCAGCTCTACACCTTGTTATCTCAGATCCACAAGCTGTCAGGTGAATTACTCATTGCTTTTCATCTGCCCCAGTGTCATTTACCTTGAAAAGTAATGCATTCTTTCCACAGTTTTCGACGGTAGGATCAAATGGGTCAAGCATCCCAAATATCAGCATGCTGCCAGAAATGCTTACCCTAACTCAAAGACAACAATTGCGAGTGAATCTCTTTAGGAGCGTGCTTTACTCTCATTGCCACTGAAATAACTTCACAGAGACCAGAATCCCATCATCAAGTCACCGTTCATTTACATGTATAGAGTCCTTGACCCTGATCCAGCTCCCTCAGAGCCAGCTCTCAGAGTGAACAGAACCTCTGACCCTCCTGTTTATATCCGTCAGCCAGGGCTCCCTGATTGGACCAGATTAACAGCCCCAATCAGGGAACTCATATTCTATGAGGTCCACCTAGCTGACCTCATTACAGTGACTGCACATACAAGTTGATATTTTAGTACAACCTTGTATTAATTAGATCTTCCATGAAACATTTGCTGAGTGCTATCCCAGAGCTTCTTCAAACTCTTCTGTGAATGTTGCCCTCAGAGCCATTAAGGGATGTCATCTGCCCATGACTGAACAAGCCATAAGAACGGAAGTGGGCTATTCAACACATTGAGTCTGCTCCACCATTCAATCTGATCTTGGCTGATCATCCAACTCCACCTGTTCACACGTTCTCCCCATACCCTTTGATCCCTTTACACCTTAGAACTTTATCTAACTCCTTGAAAACATTCAAGTTTTGTCCTCAACATCCTTCCTGCATTTACCTTGTCCAGTCCTGTCAGAACTTTATAGGTTTCTATGAGATCTTAATAAGTGTGCACAATATTTTTGAGATAAAACCAATTGTTGCGTCAATATTAAAATGTGTAATTGTTCTTTTTGTTGCAGTCTCAACTGAGCATCTTGGGGTCCCCGAACCTAACGCGGTTTGACAGCAAAAGCAGCATTTTCAGTATTAGAGATCGGAAAGAACCGGGTTCGGAAACAGAATTTGCTGATGATGAGCACAGCACGGTGGAAGAGACAGATGGCAACCGGAAAAATTCTTTGTTTGTTCCGAACAGGGAACCCAACAGGAGGAATAGCTACAGTGGCTACAGTCAACCCAGCAAGTCATCAAAAATGTTTCCTGTCCTTCCAGTCAATGTGAAAAGGAACAGCACAGTGGACTGCAATGGTGTGGTCTCACTAATCGGTGGCCCAGGAGCTACCCTCCCTGGTGGACGCCTACTGCCTGAGGTGATAATAGATAAGGCAGCTACTGATGACAGTGTAAGGAAGTCAATAAGTAGATCAGTTTAGGCATGGCGGTCTAACCTCTCTGCATTTATGTATGCCGCCCTTCCCAACAGAAGATGCCATTTAGGAATGGAAGTTGGTTTGTGCAATAGAACCTACATGCACTTCTCCCAAGTCCAAATTATTACCTATTAGTAAGCGTGTTCAATTGGGAACCTGTTTCAAAAACAAAACCCCTTCTGAAAATGACTTAGGATGAATGATCTCTAGACACCCGAACCCTTTTCCACCCAAAGGAAGTGCCTTCGCTGATCTCTAATCCACTGCTCGATTTTATATTTGTAGACACTAACCAACATGACAGGCCCATTTGAATTTAGAAATGACTTGGACTGTCTGTGTGGACCAACTCTCCCACCCTCTCCTTAGTGGATTCTGTAAATTGTCTAAACAAGGCATGGGCCAAGTTGTTTTTGTGGTGTATCCTTCAGAGGAACACATTGGAAATGAAGACAAAACAAAAGCCTGCTTGCATGAAGTGAGATTTTCATGACATCTAACACATTAATGTACAGTGCATTCGTTAAAGGATTCACCAAAGGAAAAAATTGATGATTTTGTACTCCCAGTGAAGAGCCATTCTCGAATGAAACACGGTTAAGGAAATCAATATGCCATTGTTGTAGCCCTGACTCTGTACTCTAACTGAGTGTGGCTCCCCACTCGGAACACAAGTTTATTAAATATATTAATATTGCACACTGCAATTTCACTCCAACTGAGATTAGTAATTGTTACCCATTTTTTCTTGTGATAATCCAAGTCTTAAAGCATCATATTTCAAAATGCTTGGGTGGAAAAAGGACATCTGTTTGGATTTAATACTGATTACATTCTAAGGCATTTTCTGAGATCCTGCAACCAGCATTTAACTCCCCACTTCTCTGTCTCTTCCTATCCTCCCCTTATCCAATGAGCACATGTAACTTCAGGTCTATATCTGTAGAACTAGCATGCCAACACAGCCTTATTGAAGCTTAATGTCAAACGCATGGAGCATGAAGAATTGCTTGTACCCAGATAAAGCTAGCAGTTTTGCGTTATAATAGAATGTCCAAAACAGACAGTATCCTTTTCATTTGTGCTGTTTAGGGACAGACCTGATCTGCTTCAAAATGCCAATTTTTAACATTGTGGTCTTTACTAATTCCATTGCATGTTCCAGATTAATGCCTCATTTACATTGGAGAGCTGTGCACAGGAGGTTTTTCTTAAAACGCATTTTTGTGATTTTGTGTTTCTGGCACAGACCTTGCTAAATATTGCAAGAGTGGGAAGTTGGGAATGGTGGATGGACAAGGCTCATCCTGTCTGAGGCTGTGAAACTGTTGGCACTGATAGCAAGCAACACTGCAGCACAGTAGAATTTTGCCATGAGATTCTTTGGGAGGTGATATTGCCCACCATTTATGTGACATCTCATTTACTTCACAGTACCTCTTTGCTCTATAAATGGAGTGCAATGTCAATTTTTATTATGTTTTTCTAACAAGTGATTGTGCTAACACTGATCATTTAATCTGTCCCTAGTTAAGTACTTTGTAAAATTGTTTAAAAATATGTTCCTACTTTTTGTTCATGGGAGATGGGTGTCACTGGCTAGGGCAGCACTTGTTGCCCATCCCTGATTACCCAGAGGGCATTTTAAGAGTCAACAACATTGCTGTGTGTCTGGACTTGCATGTAATCCGGACCAGGTAAGCTTGGCATTTTCCTTCCCTAAAGGGCATTGGTGAACCAGATCGGTTTTTACAACAATTGACAGTTTATACATCATCACCGTTCCAAATACTTTTTTTAAATTGGAATCCGATTTCACCACCTGCCATAGTGGGATTTGAACCCATGCCCCGGAACATTAGTTTGGAGTTTCTGAGCTATTCATCTGGTGATATTATCACTACACAATCTCCCCAGCTAGTAGGCAGCCTTTAACTCGACCAATGTAACTGGTAACTTTGAACCTCTTTGAAATTAATCACGCTCCATGAAATTGAATCTGAGCCTTTTTTTACGCAGCATTGAGTAGCTGCTGCAGTAGTACATCTGTCAGAAAGTTGTTTGCTATCAAGTGCACATTTTATAAAAACAAATTGTTTCACAGAGCTACATGTTTCAAAAGCGGGACACAACAGCATCGGCAAAACTTTGTGTTATTGGGTGGAAGTTAGGGGATGAATTCTAGATTTCACGAAACTCTGGCATTGCTTTTACGTTTTCCATCAATAAATTGGGAAAGGTTTATCAAAATGACGTCCAGTGAAAATGTTTCCTGCTAACATTCTTGTTTCTCTGTGCTTTCTCATTTTTTTATATTTTTGTTTGATCAGCAAACCCTGATGACATTGTGTTGATATGCAGTACAGTTCAGTCCAAAAACAGCAAAAATGTTTGCTGTATGTGACAGGACAGAACTGATGCAGAGAGATCACTGAACCAAGTGTTTGAGCAGGAGGTGAATTAACAGAATCGTTGACCTGGACTTCTGGAGCAGATTGAGTGATTTATTAATGAAAGCGACTCTGTCTCTCACATTTGGGCTCAGGCATTATTTTCATACAGCCATCCCCTAATAATGTCATCAGTGATCACAGTATGAACAGAAATATATCTTATCAACAAAAAAAGAGAAAAAGGCAGAGAAAATACAAAAGAGTGTGAAACATGGTAAAGTTTTGCCATGAAACAAGTAAATTCTATATTTTAGTCGGATACACGAGGAGGATTTAACTTTTGAACTGATTAAAATGATAAAGGATACTGTCTCTTTAATTATGTCCAAGAAATGCATGAGACTAAACTGTTTTGATGGATTTTGGTTTTTCACTATATGTGGACCAGATCACACTCAAACAAGGATTGTAAAGCCCCGTTACAAGAGGACTGTTGTAAATAAGTCATTTATTCATTTTGCTTCAAAAATTCTATGCTGATTCCAAACAGCCTCAATTGGTAGATTTGAGAGACTTTGAAATTAGTGCTGTTGGATAACATAGTACAATGCTGAATACACTTGTCTTAAACTCCTATCTCTCTTGAATTAGCAACGATGTTAATTATCTATTTGAAATGTTTATTAGATAGGAATTTAATAAGAGCGTATTATCCATTTGTACTCTGAGCACAATTTCAAGACCAGAGCTCAAAGACGCCATGGTTAATCATTGTGCAGTTTTGCTAAATTATTCTGTTTTGAATTCCAGCCGACTTGAAGTACATGTTTGTGCTCCAGGTTTTGGTCTTCAGAATGATGCAGGATCTTGGAGATCCAAGTTACATTGCCAGTTCTGTACATGGGAAGTTAAGCGTTGTGTGCACCCACTGGCACCCAAGTGCTTGTTCCGTTTTAGTGTAAACAGCAAAATCAAAATTCACAAGTTTAAAAGAAAAGAATCCAATTGACCATCTGGAACCTTTTCAAGTATTTGTGTGCACCATTTGTAGTTTACTGCAGTCAAGGTGCAACTCTGAGATGTGTTCACCTTCCTCTTCAAGATGGTCTCATTTTCGATAACTTCCCCACTGAATTTAGAACAGTGTTTCAATTGCTGCAAAGCAGAAACTGATTCCCGTCATCATAGAACATGTTGTGTCACATAATTGGACTGTAACCGATTGAAAACCGCACTGGTGCAGGTGTAACTTAGTCCCAGAGACAGGAAGATGCTTTTACATTTTATGCTTCTGCAGTTTGGTCATGGGAGACGAGTATCAGTGTGTCAGCTCCCCATGTTTACATTTCTTAAGCCAGCTCCCTTATCACTTAAACAACAAAAACATGGATCTGAACTGAAAAACATGACCTGCATTGAATGATCTAAACTCAGGGAGCTGGTGCAAAGATGTTGCTCTCCAGTGGCTTGAAGTGCAGATGCAGCACACGTAAAAATGCCTGCCAATGTGATTCCAACTATCACTTATTGCAAACTATCAAGGATTGCTTTGTTGCCCAGATTACAGCGTGTAGGTGAATCTTTTTCAGAACTGAATGTGCATTTTTCACCAAATTAGACCATACTGTCTGTTCGGCAAAATATAATTTAAGCAATCATAAAATATTCCTTTGGAGACAGGATTGTGCAACCAAAAGTCTTTTTGCATCTGAGACCTGGATTGGAATCCAGGAATAAGACCTTTCTCTTTTAGTTTCCCTTCCACCCTTTCTTTCTCCTTCCTTTGCCCCCCTTCTCCTGCAGTCCATATGTCCACTAAGCATGGGCAGTACAGATTCTGTTCCTGTTGGGCACAAGTCTGCTGCCCCCAATTCATGTTAAACAGGTATGTTCACTCCAAAGCCACCTGATGGCTGAGATGGTGAATGGTAGCAAGACTTTAATGCGGTTCGAGGGCGCTCATCCAAGGTTGTGGGGGAACACATTGTTGGCACAGCACAGAGGGAGCTTTACTTTCCATGTAACCTTGCTATTAGCTGATGTGTGAGTGCTTAATACTGATACAGAGTACCAAAAGTGTTTCATTCTGCAGAATCCACATCACTCCACTTCAAACGGAGGCTGGGCCAGGAAATTCCTTGGAGCTGTCACAGCTCCGCCATGAGTGTGACAGAAGCCCCGTTTACGCAGTTAAACAGGATTTCTGACTCAACTTGAGGCAAAGGGATACCAGCTGATTGGGAGCAGCTCCAAGGAATTCCCTGGCCAAAAAATCCAACCTGCAACATATAATTCTTGAATGATTCTTTTGACGGAAATTCTACATGAAATTCAGTTCTTTTGAGGACGAATATGAAATGACAATTAAGCTGAAAATGATTTAGGCAACCAGGAGAGTACGGGGTATTTGGTTGAGAGATGAAGTATATCCCTGCCTGGTTTTGATTCCCACAAACATGGCCTAATTGGTGCAAAGTTTTTGCCAAGTTGCAAGTTACTGCCCTATGTCTGTCCCTTTATTATGCTCACTTCATTCTTCTATTCTCA